GTCCTCCAGCGGGACATTCTTCTCTGGCCCGCCTTTTTCCACCAGGACACCAGACATCTCCACAGGAATGCCCTGGCTCCCCATGTCCCCAGGCGTGACAGAGGCTGCAGAAGGGACCCTCAGCACGCCAACAGCTCATTCTGGGGCTATTTCGCAGCGCACAGCTCACTTGCACACGGGGACCACCTCCTCCAGCCCAGGGACTCACAGGGCCGCGACTGAAGGTTTCACACACTCACAGGTGACGACTGTCAGGAGCAGGGGACCCGTGGATGAGTCTAAGACAAGTCCTCTCTTTGTGGAGTCAAGCAGCTCTCAGTCCCTTGATTCCGCCCCTAGTACAGCCTCCCCTTCCACAGTTACTCCTCCAAGGATATCTGAGAGGGGTTACCCCCCAGCTCCTGTGTCCACCTCTGGTTCGACCTCTGGCCAGCTGCGGTCCACTGAGGCCTTGGGCATAAACACAAGCGTGGATCCCGGAGCCCATTCCACTCCACATATGAGCCAGAGCACAACACAGAGCCTGGACTCCTGGACCCCCTCCACAGGTACAGAGGCAACTCACCTGTCGTCGGGACACACAACTGAGACCAGTGTGGGGGCCAGCAGTTCTGGACAGGAGCCATATTCCTCTGCGCCAGCTGAGTCAGGGCCACCGGAAGTGACTTCTCCAGTGGTTACCCCTTCCATGACGAGGGAAACCAGCGTTTCCTCACCAGTGCCTGGCTCTGTCCGAGACCAAGTGGTGTCGGAAGAGCCAGGCTCCTCCATGAGCCACTCTCAGCCCAAGAGCTCAGCTGCGGAGACAATAGCCATCTCTTCCCAAGGACCCACTGACGCTGGTACCGAGGTCTCCAGGACACAAGGCGTGTCCTCCAGCGGGACATTCTACTCTGGATCGCCTCCCTCCACCGGGATACCAGACACTTCCACAGGAATGCCCGGGCTCTCCAAATCCCCTGGCGTGACAGAGGCTGCAGAAGGCATTCTCAGCCCGCCAACAGCTCAGCCCGGGGCTATGTCGCAGGGCACAGTTCCTTTGGACACATGGACCACCTCCTCCAGCTCAGGGACTCACCTGGCTGCAACTCCTGGATTCACACCATCACAGGTGATGACTCTCAGCAGCAGAGGACCCGAGGACGAGTCAAGATCAAGTGCTCCCTTTGTGGAGACAAGCGGCTCTTTGTCCCAGGACTTGGCATCTAGGAAGTCCTCCCCTTCCACAGTTTCTCCTCCAACGATACCTGAGAGCAGTTCCTCCCCGGCACCTTTGGCCACCTCCTCTTGGACCACTGGCCAGCTCTCGTCCACTGAGGCCTTGGGCATAAGCAGAAGCGTGGATCCCGGAGCCCATTCGACTCCACGTTTGAGCCAGGGCACAGCACAGAGCCTGGACTCCGGGGCCCCCTCCGCAGGTACAGAGGCAGCTCACCTGTCCTCGGGACACACAACTGAGACCAGCGTGCGGTCCAGCAGTTCTGGGCAGGATCCACATTCCTCTGCTCCAGCTGAGTCAGGGCCACCGGAAGTGACTTCTCCAGTGTTTAGCCCTTCCATGACGAGGGAAACCAGAGTTTCCTCACCAGTGCCTGTCTCTTCCGACACCACTTGGTCTGGGACAGAGCCAGCATCTTCCAAGAGCCCCGGCCTGAGGGAGACCAGCCCCTCCCAGCCCATGAGCTCAGCCTCGGAGACAATGGCCATCTCTTCCCAAGTGCCCACTGACGCTGGTACCGAGGTCTCCAGGACACAAGGCATGTCCTCCAGCGGGACATTCTTCTCTGGCCCGCCTTTTTCCACCAGGACACCAGACATCTCCACAGGAATGCCCGGGCTCCCCATGTCCCCAGGCGTGACAGAGGCTGCAGAAGGGACCCTCAGCACGCCAACAGCTCATTCTGGGGCTATTTCGCAGCGCACAGCTCACTTGCACACGGGGACCACCTCCTCCAGCCCAGGGACTCACAGGGCCGCGACTGAAGGTTTCACACACTCACAGGTGACGACTGTCAGGAGCAGGGGACCCATGGATGAGTCTAAGACAAGTCCTCTCTTTGTGGAGTCAAGCAGCTCTCAGTCCCTTGATTCCGCCCCTAGTACAGCCTCCCCTTCCACAGTTACTCCTCCAAGGATATCTGAGAGGGGTTACCCCCCAGCTCCTGTGTCCACCTCTGGTTCGACCTCTGGCCAGCTGCGGTCCACTGAGGCCTTGGGCATAAACACAAGCGTGGATCCCGGAGCCCATTCCACTCCACATATGAGCCAGAGCACAACACGGAGCCTGGACTCCTGGACCCCCTCCACAGGTACAGAGGCAACTCACCTGTCGTCGGGACACACAACTGAGACCAGTGTGGGGGCCAGCAGTTCTGGACAGGAGCCATATTCCTCTGCGCCAGCTGAGTCAGGGCCACCGGAAGTGACTTCTCCAGTGGTTACCCCTTCCATGACGAGGGAAACCAGCGTTTCCTCACCAGTGCCTGGCTCTTCCGACACCACTTGGTCTGGGACAGAGCCAGGCTCCTCCATGAGCCCCTCTCAGCCCAAGAGCTCAGCTGCGGAGACAATGGCCATCTCTTCCCAAGGACCCACTGACGCTGGTACCGAGGTCTCCAGGACACAAGGCGTATCCTCCAGCGGGACATTCTACTCTGGATTGCCTCCCTCCACCGGGACACCAGACACCTCCCCAGGAATGCCCGGGCTCTCCAAATCCCCTGGTGTGACAGAGGCTGCAGAAGGGATTCTCAGCCCGCCAACAGCTCAGCCTGGGGCTATGTCGCAGGGCACAGTTCCTTTGGACACATGGACCACCTCCTCCAGCTCAGGGACTCACCTGGCTGCAACTCCTGGATTCACACCATCACAGGTGGTGACTCTCAGCAGCAGATTACCCGAGGACGAGTCAAGGACAAGTGCCCCCTTTGTGGAGACAAGCGGCTCTTCGTCTCAGTATTTGGCCTCTAGCACAGCCTTCCCTTCTACAGTTTCTTCTCCAATAATACCTGAGAGTGGTTCTTCCCCTGCTTCTTTGGTCACCTCTGCTTGGACTTCTGGCGTGCTGCTGGGCACTGATGTCTTGGGCACAATTGTGGATCCTGGAGCCCAATCCACTCCACATTGCAGCCAGAATCCGTCGCAGAGCCTGGATTCCAGTGCCTCCTCTAAAGGTATGAGCCAGCTCTCCTATGGGGACCGACAGCTAAGACCAGTGTTAGGATCACCAGTTCTGGACTCAAAACACATTCGTCTCTCCCCATCAACTCTCCATCTTCCAAGATCAAATATTTTCTTCAAAATGAATCTTTCTTGTTTATCCTACTATTTTCACTTTCGTACCTTTGTTGTTTTTGTTCTCAGTAATTTATCCCTTTGATTTTTGATATTAGTTCGTCCACTATCGCTCTGGGCTTGAACTCAGTTACTTACACTCATATGCATATCTCGCCATTGAACTCATTTTTTCTTCAGTCCCATTTCTGATTTCACGATAGTTTGTCCTCAGCTGAGATCTCTCTGGCTCTTACTTCACCTCCTGTTTGCAGAAGGCATTTTTTCCCCCCATATCAGTTTTTTTTTTTTTCAACCAGTTCATTTGTATCCCCTTGGTATTCTTTTGAGTCCACCATTTCAAGTAGCCTAACTCCGTTAGTTTTAACATCATTTCCCTCTTCAGACTTCATTGCCACCTGTCTCTTCAACCAGCCCTTCCACAAATGCTCTTACTTTCTCACATACTACCCCTCATACAGTAGACACCAACTTTTGGACAGAGATTTGCAGTGCTTCTGAAATCTTGTTTATGTTTAATATTGTCAAACCTTGGACTCAGCCAGTGAGGACATCTTTATTGCCCATTTTGAATACCATAGTAGTAGAGCATTTGGATTTAGGAATGTTTCTCCACTCTCAGCATAATTGACAAGTAAGAACCCAGATAATTATTTGTTGTGGTGAGTTGTTCAAGTGTTGTGGGTTGTTTAAAAGTATCCATGACTTGTACTCATAAATGCCTGTAGCACTCTCCATATACACACAGTTGTGACTTCCTCTTTGGTAATATTTTCCCAGTCTGAGATCTACTGAATTATAAAATTCTTTCTATGACTCTCATGTCCTTTTCATTTTAGACCTCACGGGATCCTGAAATTCAGTTATAAAATTAATATAAATTGTGGTTATAAACAAGGGTTTAGGATACAGAGAAAACTCTCAGTTCACATTTCCATGCTATCTTATCAGTAGCTGTGTGACCTTGACATATTATGATTTCTGAGATTTTATTTTTCTCTTCTATAAAATATAATAATAGGGTGTAATTGCAGTGTTCTTGTGATAAAGAGAAAAAGGATGTCAGGTGCTTTATAATTGCTCATCATTTCCAATATCACCACCACCATCATCAAACATATAGGGATCACTTTAGGATGTCTATTCTCAGAAATAAGTTTTTCAGCTATTCTCGGCAACATAGGGTATGGCTTAATCATTAGAGTCAAAATCCTCTTAATTTTGTCTCTTCCTGCACTAAGCTTCAATAGGCTTTGTGATCTCTATTGAGAAGCCTCCAGGTAGATCCTCCTCTTTCCTGGGAACCGTTTTCTGAAGCCCTGGTCAATAGCCATTGTCTCAACCAATGACACTCTACTCTTTCTCAGAAGCTGACTTCTAGTCACATTGGCCAGCTAGTGTGGTTCCTAGCAAATTTAAAACAGTGAACATTTATTTTGTAATAAAAGTACAAGAAGTAAAAATAGTAGTAACAGTGGCAATAATCGTAGTAATAATGGTAGTTATAATTCTAGTAATAATAACAGTAGTAATAACTAATAGTCATAGTAACAGTAGTAATAACAGTAGTAATAGGTGGTAATAATGGTAGTGACAGCAGTAATGATAGTAGCAGTGTTAGTATTAATAGTAGTAGTCACAGTAGTAATGGTAAGTAGTAATAGTTGTAGTAGTAACTATTAACAAGAGTAGTAGTAGCAGCAGTAATGGAAGGTAGTGTCTGGTGTTATTAACAGTAATGGTAGGAAGAAGTAGGGAGAGTAATAATAGTAGCAGTGACACTACTAGTAGTAGATAGTAGCAGTGAGAGTAATAACAGTAGTAATAGTAGATAGCAGTAGTATAGTAGTAGTAACATCTTATTGTGAGCCAGGAGGCACTGTTCTTGTTACACTTTTATTAGCACTGTGACATGGCCACTATAAATTATAGATGAGAAAATGAATATCTAGCAAGATTTAGTGGAGAAGCCAAAATCTTAGTGTGGGACTATCTTATTCTAGAACCCAAGGACTTAAGCACAATGATATATGATTTCTGTCAAGTAAGAAGACACCCGCCTGTTTATATATCCATCCATGTGTTCATTCATTAAGTCACTAATTCAACAAATATTTATTGAGCACCTATTTTATGTCAAGAAGGCAGACATGAATAGCTATTACCAAGGAGACTGTAGAATGTGGTGCAGTGCAGGTTCAGATAATATGATGAGATAATGAGAAGGGCGAGATAAACTCTGATGTGAATTTGTAAAGGTAGATTTGAGCTGAGGTTTAAAATAGAACAGAAAGTAAGGAATCTGATGAGGGATGGTTATGTCAAGCAGAGAAAACTGCTTGAACAAAAATACAGAGGATGGAGAGTACAGAAAACACTTGGGAGCAGGGAGTGGTCAACTGGGAATTACAACCCAAGATAATACAGGGAAGGTAGGGGAATGCCAATCATAGTTCCTTTTCCCATTCCAGAAACATTGTAGGTACATTTTGGGCAGAGACATTGCTCTCCCTTTCCTCATATGAAGAAATAAATAACCTCTTGCCAGTCTAGTAAGTGGTAATCATTCTGTGCAAACTCTCTGTCCATCCCACAACTTACAGAGCTGCCAACAGGAGGGACAGAGAAGGCACAGACCACCACCACAGCGTCCTTGACCACCAGACTATCGACTTCTTCTTTGGGAATGCTGACTTTCCTTAGGACATCAAGTAAAATGGTCAGCACAAGCACAACAGGAGTGATCATCACAACCCCAGGTGTTTCCCAGGATATGTTAGAGATGACATCCTTCTTGGCCACAAGACCTGGAGTAGAGACCAGCACCGCAGTTTCCAGGACAACGCCACCCATGTTCAGTAGAAGACCAGCAACCATAACTGCACCAGTCTTTAGTTCTTGGACAAAGACCAGCACCACTGTTCCAACTCTGATAATTTCCCCTGATGAACCAGATACAAGAATCCCTTTGATCACACATCCTGCAAATACCAGCCCAATTTTGCCCCAAACAACTCCCAGTGTTTTCCATACTGAATCAGATAGCACACCACCCTTGATGGCCACCAGTCCTGGAACAGAAACGAGTTCAACTGTTCTAGCTACAACTGTCTACCCTATTATATCAGAGGTGGTGACTTCACAGGCTTCCAGTTCTGAGGCAGAGACCAGTACAACTTTTCCAGATCAACTGGAGACCACAGCCTCATGGAACACCTATTATGGGACAGAAGTCAGGTCAGCTCTTCCAACTCATACTGTTTTCTCTGGTGAACCACGTACAACAGTCTTACTTATCACCCATACTGCAGAGACCAACTCAACAGTGTCCAAGACAACCCCCAGTGTTTCCCCTAGTGAATCAGAACCAACACTCTCAATGGCCACCGACTTTGGGACAGAAACCAGTTCAGTTCTTCCAACTCTGACTGTCCCTCCTAGTGTACCAGATATGATGACCTCACAGGTCACTAGCTCTGAAAAAGATGCCAGAACAGCTGTTCCAAGTCTGACTTTTTCTCCAAGTGGACCATCAACCACAGCCTCATTGGCCACTTATCCTGGAGTACAGACCAGTTCAGCCATTCCATCTCCAACTGTCTCTTTTACTGTGTCAGGGCTGGTGACTTCACTCATCACCATTTCTGGGGCAGAGATCAATACAACTTTTCCAACTCTGACTAATTCTTCACATGAACTAGAGATCACAGACTCATGGGTTACCTCTTCTAGGACAGAAGCCAGTTCCATTGTTCCAACTTCAACTACCTCCTCTGGTGAGACAGATACAACAGCCTTATGGATCCATTCTGCAGGGACCAACACACCTGTTTCCAGAACAATTCCAAATTTTTCCCCTAGTAAATCAAATAGCACACCTTTAACTGCTATTAGTCCTAGAGCAGAAGATAGTTCAGCCATTTCAACTACAACTATCTTCCCTGGTTTATCAGGGAATGATACCTCATTGGTTACTGGTTATGGAGCAGAAACAAGTACAACTTTTCCAACTATGACTGATTTGTCACATGAACCAGAGACCACAGCCTCATGGTTCAACCATTTTGAGACAGAAGCCAAGTCAGCTATTCCAACTCTGACTATTTCCCCTGATGAACCAGATACAAGAATCCCTTTGATTACACATCCTGCAAATACCAGCCCAATTTTTCCTATAACAACTCCCATTGTTTCCCATAATGAATCAGACAGCACATCCTTGATGGCCACCAGTCCTGGGACAGAAACCAGTTCAACTATTCCAGCTACCACTGTTCAAACTGTTGTACCAGAGGTGGTGACCTCACAGGCTACTAGTTCTGGAACAGAGACCAGCAAAATTTTTTCAATTTTGACTAATTCCCAAGTTGATTTGGATACTACAGCCTCATGGGTCACCCAATTTGAAACAGAAGTCAGATCATCAGTTCCAACTCTGATTGTGTCTCCTGGTGAGCCAGATGCAACAGTTTCCATGGTCACCCATCCTTTAGAGATCAGCCCAATTGTTTCCCAAACGACTTTCAATTTTCCCCATAGTGAATTACACAGCACAATCTCAATGGTCACCATTCCTGGGCCAAAATCCAGTTCATCTGTTCCAGCTACAACTGTCCAACCTGTTGTGCCAGAGGTGGTAACCTCACAGGCTACTAGTTCTGGGGCAGAGACCAGTACAACTTTTCCAACTTTGACAATTTCCCCAGGTCAACTGAAGGCCACACCCTCATGGACCACCCATTATGAGGCAGAAGTCAGGTCAGCTGTTCCAACTCAGACTGAGTCCTCTGGTGAGCCACATACAACAGATTTATTGGTAACCCATCCTGCAGAGACCAGCCCAACAGTGTCCAAGACAACCCCCAGTGTTTCCCCTAGTGACTCAGAATCCATACCCTCAGTGGCCACCGACTTTGGGACAGAAACCAGTTCAGCTCTCCCAACTCTGACTGTCTCTCCTGGTGTACCAGGTAAAGTGACCTCACGGGACACTATTTCTGAAACAGATTACAGCACTGTTATTCCAACTCTGACTCTTACTGTTGGTGAACCAGAGACTACAGCCTTATTGGTCACCCACCCCAGTACAGAGACAAGCACAAATTTTCTTGCTTCAACTATTTTTCCTCGTTTACCAGATACCACAGACTCACTATCCATCCAACCTGGGATGGACCTCAGCACAACTATTTCAACTTCAGCTCTTTTCCATGGTTCATCAGACACCACAAGCTTACTGGCCACCAGCCCTGTATCAGAGGCCAGTACTGGTCTTCCATCTCTGCCTGTTTCCCCTGCTGTTTTTGAGCCTGCCAGTACCCCTGCAACCACGGGTGAGCCTTATACTGTGGCTTCCTGGAGCACATTAACCTCACCATCTACAACCTCATTTGGTCTCCCAGAATTTTCCAACACTGTGACTGGGGGCACTGTGACCTTGACTGCAGCCAAAAGTAGCCGGGAAGGACTAAGTTCAACCACTATCTTAAAAACTACAACTCTTGCAGACACTAAATTAAGTGCCACAGGTTCAGACCACACTGTGGCCAAGACTACAGCCACTTTCAGTACACTGTCTGAAAGTTCCTTTGTCCCTGTGACCACACCGAAGATGTCCACCATGGGCTATGTGAGTGTGACTTCAAGAACAAGTAAGAATCACATTTTTATTCTATCTATCTATGATAGTTTTTAACTGTTTTAATGTACAATTCAATGGTATTAATTACTTCCACATCACCACTGTTTCTAAACTATTTTTATCACCTCAAACAGGATCTGCGTACCCATTAGACAGTAACTCCCCTTTTCCTACTCACCAACCCCCCCGCACTCCCCCCCCACTCCCCCCTCCCCCGGCCCTGGTAACCTCTAATTTTCCTGTTATAGATATCTCATATAAGATAAATTGTACAATATAACTATCCTTTTGTGTCTTGCTTATTTTAGTTAACATAATGCTTTCAAGGGGCCTCCATGCCATAGTATATATCAGAACTTTATTCCTGTTTATGAATGAATATCCTGTTGTGTGGATAGATAGATCACATTTTATTTGTTCATTTATCTGTTGATGGAAAATTGGGCTTTTTCCACCTTTGACTATTGTGAATCATGCTGCTATGAACATGGATGTACAAACATCCATTGGAGTCCTAGTTTCCAATTATTCTGGGGATATACCATGGGTCCTCAAATAACATTGATTTGTTCAACATCATTTCATTATAATATTTATGAGATATTTTATGAACTCAACTCTTTTTTTATATCACTTAGCTTATGTAAGATTGGTTTCTTACATAAGTATTTCACTTGAAGTCACAGAACCTATTGACAATGTTACACGAGGACTTGTACTAAAAAAGGAATTGTTGGGTCATTTGGTTTATTGGTTTCCCAGAGCTGCCATGACCAAGTACCACAAACTGGGAGGCTTCAACCACAGAAACTTGTTCTGAAGGCTGGAAGGGAGAATGCATACAACATACACTTAGTCATCCCACATGGGGTGCTTATCATCCAACTCCCACCTGTCATTGCTAGAGGGATGCTCTCTGGGCCTGATGATCTTCCCAAGACAAAGAGGTGTAGGTTCTGGCCTGTGTTGAGATAGTAAAAGTCAAGGGGAAGGAGGAACAGGGTGCCCAGCTCCTCTCCATTTGCTCTGTTTGCACTCTGCAGTCTGCATCCTAGAAACCCACGTGGTCCTGGGGAAAAAATGGTTGGTCACCCTGTGTGAGGGGGCCTTGGACAGTGACTGCTATATGAGGTATCTCAAGGAAGACAACCTAGGCCAGGCCCCAACTCAGCACTGAAATTAAGACCTGTTCTTAGAGCCCTCCCTCCCCTCAGCCCCAGGCCTGACCCAGGATCGGCCTCACTTTACTGTACCCCTCCCTGCAGCTGCAGTTCCTTTCTTGGTGCCTTTTATTGTCAACTTCACCATCACTAACCTGCGCTACACAGAGGACATGGGAAACCTAGGCTCTGCGATATTTAATGCCACTGAGAGGCAACTGGTGAGAGCTCCCCAACAATTCTCACTTCCTGCCAACCCTGCCACAAACTGCTGTCTTGGCCACTCTGCTCATCTGCCTCTCCTGCCTTCACAGCTGGGGCTCTTGTTCAAGAACAGTATCGGTTTCCTCTCTGCTGGCTGCAGATTGACCTTGCTCAGGTAAGACCTTCTCTTCAGTACCTACAGAAAATCTACTTCTTTCCTTTCTTGGTCCTCTACACTGGTCAACCATAGTCCCTTGGGCCTTTGTGAAGAGACGGGGTAACACGGTGTATCCAGATGCCTGAGTTGGAACTCTGGTTCTTCCATTTGCTAGCTATGTGACTTTGGGCAAGTCACATAACTTCTCTGTTCTTCAATAACACTATCTATAAAATGGTGATAATAACAGTGCCTTACTCTTGGAGTTGTTAATCCTTCATCCCAATGCCTGCGTCATTTTGAGCACTCAATTAATGGGATCCTGTAGTACCAGCCAGTGTAGCATTTTTACCAACTGCCTTCCCAGAGTCTGACACTCTCTCTGTCCCAGTTCATATCTACCCTGTTGGAGAAAAATTCTGGACACTGAAGCTCTGCAGTTTATTCCATGAAAAGAGATAGAAATTTCCCAAAAGAAGTCTTACTGAACAAAGGGAAAAACAAATCAAATGTTCAGTACCAGCAGGATATATTGTGATCTAAAAATCTCAAATGGACCTGAACTCTGCAGAAATGGACTGTCTTCTTTTCTTTGTCTATATCCATACCTGTGTCATCTGAGGTCAATGGACTCAGGAGCCTATCCTTATACTTAATGACCTTATGGCCTCTTTGAGCTACTCCATCCAGCCAACTCAAGTCATCCTTCCAGAGAGGTGGGGTTCTCTACCCACATCACTCAATGAAGAGAGATTGCTGATAAGTTATAGACCAGTGTCCAATAGCTGAGCCTGCCATACCTGCCCCCATATCTCCTTAATATGGGGAAACCAATAACAATAATAATATTGCTCATGGTATATGCCATCCAATAAATGTGATTTACACTTTTTCTATTCATTCATCTTCACTACAATATGATTATTGTCTGGCCTTGTAGAGTAGCTGAGTTGTGTGCTTAGGGGAAGCTAGAATTAGACCTGGAGTTCTGGTTCTAGAGTTCCTGCTTTTAACCACAATACCAGCAGGCCTCGACCTCCCTGGCTCAACCATTTTCATTTTTAAAAAGAGCCTTTGGCCGAAACTGGTTTGGCTCAGTGGATAGAGCGTCGGTCTGCAGACTGAAAGGTCCCGAGTTCAATTCTGGTCAAGGGCATGTACCTTGTTGCGGGCACATCCCCGGTGGGGGGTGTGCAAGTGGCAGCTGATCGATGATTCTCTCTCATCGATGTTTCTAACTCTCTATCCCTCTCTCTTTCTCTCTGTAAAAAAATCAATAAAATATATTTAAAAAAAATAAAAAATAAAAAGAGCCTTTGGACTTGGGTTATATCTGCCCATATTAATTGTGCTAGAAATTAAAACAAAATTTATTAATTAAAATAATAAACCTATTATATGTTAATATAAATGACATATTTTTATAAACAATAACCATATCATCCCATGCCCCCCTCCCAAAGAAGCACAATGAGAAGAGGGCCATCATTTACATTTTTGTAAATCCTTTTAATGTGTGACTTAGTAGAAGATACCAGGATATCTGCTTCTGCATTATATTTTTTATAATATTTCACCTCATAGCCACTGGAAAAAATGTAACTGAAGACTCCTGAGAAAATGAATGTAAAAATAATGTCTTAGGATTATTATGAAAATATTATTTATTTGATGGACTCCCTGTAATAGTTTTGAGAACAACAGAGGTCCCTGGGCTGCACTTTGAGAACTGCTAGGTGCCACTATGTAGGTATAAAATGGGAAGGTTTTGAATAGCGTGGATCATAGCAAGCAGAATTGACAGGCAAGTGAGGAAGGCATTCTTTCTTCCTACCTATACATCCTCCTCTTTGAGTGAAACATTTTAGGGTCAGCTTAAATTCAGGACAAAGTTATTTTTTTTACTAATTGTCCCTGGTTTCTTCTTAACTTGTTTTCCTTCAAATTGGTTGCTTGCCTAAAATGTTTTCCTCGGCCTTGGGATTTGCCAACTTGAAATAAAATACCCCCTTAGGCTCAGTGTCACAACCAACCACAGGGATGATCACTTACCTGCCCAAATGTCTTCAGTGCTCTTGTTTTTCCCTTCCACGTGTTGGCTGGCCCCAGGATCATCAGAATTTTTTTCCCCCTGGAGTCCCACATCCCTAACCCCATGGCCCAAGCAGGACTAACATATTACAGGAGTGACACCATCTACAATATATTTACCTTCATGAATGGACAGGGAGTGTCCTGGGGCTTGTAGTTGAGACAGTGAGCTTTAACCAATTAATAAAAAGATAATAGGGACAAGGAGAAGAATATTGTCTAGGGAGAAGCTGTAGGAACCTGCAGAACACTGCATTTAAGAAGGTGGCGGGTCTGGATTCCCCCATGAAACAGAGATGTGTTTTAGAAAGCAGGGAAGGGTGATGTTATAAAAACTAAGGGAGGAGTGATCAAGAGTATTTACCTTTCATGTCTCAGTTCCCATGTCCCTCCTTCCCCAGGGCTGAAAAAGAGGGAGCAAGCACCACAGTGAGTGTGATCTGCACCCACCACGCAGATCCCACAGGCTTCCAGCTGGACAGAGAACAGCTGTACTGGGAGCTAAGCTTGCAGACCCATGGTGTCACTCGGCTGGGCCCCTACACCCTGGACAGGAATAGTCTCTTCGTCAATGGTGAGTAGCTCTGCTGCAATGGGATCTTCTTATGCTCCCCAGATGGGGTCTCCTTGGAGTGCATTTCTCTGTACCTGTGTTTCTCTCTACCCTTAGAATTTCCATGGGGCTCAGCTCTCTCCCTTCATAACACCTAAAAAGCACCTTTTAAGGTTAAAAAAAAAGTTTCCTTTAATCTTCTTCATCCCAATGACCATTCATAGAAGCTCAAATGGAGCATGCAGATTTCAAGGAAGGAAGAGGGTAAAGTAAGCCCATGGCAGTCAATACAAGAACCAGTGAGTTCCCAGTGCAGTGTCTAATCTGCTTCTTTCACTTCCTTGTGGAAGCTGTGGCTTTTACCCATTCTCCAAGGGCCAGCTGGAATTATACCCACCTGAGAAACAAGCAACAAAGCTGTTAGTAATGACTTAGCAATAAATTCCTTTGCATCCATGCTCTTAGCAACAACACCCACAATAATACCTACAATAAAGGGTGATATTTTTTTAGGGATTCCTGTGATGCAGAATGTTATATGTATTATGTATTACTAACCCTGACAACTTCTCTAAGATATCAGGTTTATCTTGCAGAAGAGAAAACAGGCCTGGTGGGGAAATTAACTTTCCCAAGATCAGATAATTAATGAAGGTGGTGGTGTCAGAAATCAAACCCTAAATTAACTCTAAAATCTAGGCCCTTAACTACTAGACTACACTGCAGACTAACCCAGCAAAAACAAGCCTCAAACCTCAGGACAGGAAGGCATACCAAGGGGCCTCACTATAACTGTTTAAACTAAAGCTTGATAATTGTAGCCCCATTACATCACTGTGGATGCTTTCTTATTGGCTGTATTAAAACCCAATATTGGATTTCATTAGTTCTTGGAGATTACTTAAAAGGAGTAGTTACCAGTGCAGGCTTTGGTGAATTACAGATCTTGCTTTTATCAAGCCCTGGCCCTTCCTTTGACTTACTATGTGACCCTGGGCAAGCCATGACCTCTCTAAGCTTCAGTGTCCATTTTCAGAATAGAAAAGTCACCTAAGTTGATTGCAATAAAACCTGAATAACCTAACTAAATCACAAGGCTCCACTTGGCCTCATCTCAAAGATAAGTTTCATTAAAAAAAACCCAAGCAGTTCATCAAATATAAAAGAAATCAGTTTTACTTGCATTACTTTCAGAGCATAAAAGAGGATCTGTTCCATGATCCAGAACCTTACTTATTCAAATCCTCTTTTTCCCATTTCCTCTTTTTAAACTTTGTAGTTTCTGATTGACACCCAGTCTTTGCTCTCTCTACAAGCCCATCTCTCTCCATCTCCATCTCTCTCCTGTATTATCTCAATTCAATATTACAGAAGTCAGAACTATATCGTCACAGATTGAGCTGTCTTTGGAGAGTAGGATAGTGGGAGAAACTGAAAAAGTAAGGACAAAATTATAATTAATATGGAGACACTCATAAAAAACTGTTGTCCCTATTATTCATTTGATAAGGTTGCTAATATTCTAGGCACTTAGTAAACCCCCATTAGATTGGGGATGCTTTGATCATTGCTGTCTTTCTGGTTAATGACTATGAGAATGAAATTATCATTAATATCAGGATATTATGTAGTTAACTCATAAAGAATACTGTTATTATTTATTGATGTGTTTCAGAGAAAGCACTCAGGGAGGTTTGTGTATTTATATTTATATTTCTATCCCTTACCCTATTCTTAACTCCTCCCACCATCATATTCTCTCTCTCTTTGCTTCTCTGTAGGTTATAACCATCGATACTGGATCTCCACCACCAGCAGTGAGTAATGAGAGCCTGGATGTCCTATGTCTCTGGGACCCTTCCTCCCTAAACCTAGGTCCCAGGAAGAAAGTATCGCCCATCCCTCAGGTTGTCAACCCAGAGTAACTGCAGCCCAGCAGAAGCCTCAGATTAAGCCAGGTTCCCATGAACAGCCCTACCCTTTCATTGCTTCATGATGGAGCTCAACAATTTTTATTCATAGTGTATTTTCTTTCAGCTCTGGTGACCTCCACATTCTCTCCAGGACCCGCAGCATCTCTGAGCCCTACCCCCAGCTCTACAGGTAGCAATGTAACTTCTGAGTCCCATTAAACCTCAGCTCTCATTCGTGGCTGATGAATTCCGGCATGCTCTGGACCATGATGCCCACCCAGTGCAACCTGTTCCCCTTTCTCTCTCAGGCTCTAATCTCTGGCCACAGCAGCCTCATTTTTTCCTTCAATAACTCAGCTGTGCTTGATTCCTCCTTGTCCTCTAAATCTCAGCCCAGCATGCTCTTGCTCAGACCACCATTTCCTTTGTGGCAATTCCTGTGATTTGGATATCTAACTGCTCAAGTATTTTGGGCTGAGTGAAAAACGTCTCAGCACAGATATCCCACCGAAATATCCACAGCCTTTTAGCCTTTGAACACACTGGGACGAAAAGATTGAGGTTCCCTTTTGAACTGATGTCATACATCTAGCATGGAGGTCCCTTCTCTCTCTTTGGCTGGCTGAGGAGGGAGGGCATCCCAGATAGGATATCTCAGGCCTCAACAACTGGACACGATGATCCAAGGGATAATACTTGTCCCTTCCTCCCATATACAGCTCAGCCTAAGCCTGTGATGGGTTTCCTCTCTTTCCCTCCCTCCATTGCAGATGTGGGTCCAGCCCCAGTGCCTTTTACCCTCAATTTCACCATCACCAACGTGCTCTACACCCCAGACATGAGGCACCCAGGCTCTGCGAAGTTCAACTCCACTGAGAGGGCTTTGAATCACCTGGTAAGAGCTCATCAATGCCTACCTTAGCCTTCCATGTTCTTGTCCCATCAGTCTCTTCAACTTACCTCCATTTGCCTCCTTCCCAGCTTGGTCTTTTGTTCAAGAACACCAGCATTGGCCCACTGTACTCTGGCTGCCGACTGGCCCTGCTCAGGTATGACTTCCCTTCCTAACACATATGCAGGGCATTGTCACAGGCAAACTCACCTGAAGGTGAATACCTGAATGTGACAACTACAAAGCAAGAGTCATATGTGATTGGAAGGTATCCCTTCTGGCTGAGTGCAACTGAGTGAGCTTCCTGAAAGATCTGTCTGTCAAAAGTCTTCAATTATTTGGATAAGCAGATCTACAGGGCATTCATGCTCATTGGTCAGAAAAATGCAGCATTGACTCATTAAGCAAACATCAAATGAGACCCCTCAGGTAACATCCTCTAACAGAAGCTAATGGCACTGAGACTCAGTCATGGGCCTTTTCCTCAAATCTCAAGTGCAATATAGACTTAAAGTCATCATATGAATGGGATTAATACAATGATAAAGCACTACACAGGGGCCATAGGAGCCTGGAGAATGAATTTTTAGCTCAGCCTGGGGGAGTTGGGTGGAGGCTGGCTGAAGAAGGTGATTCCTGGGGTATGTTTTGACAGTCAAGTGTGCATTAACTAGAAGAAATAGTGGCAAAGGTATTCTAAGGGGTGGTGTAACAAGTCATGGGGCAGATGTGAAAAATATCCTAGTGCATGAGAGAAGTTTTGTGAAATTGGAGGGTAGAGTATGAGGAAATAGCAATTGAATATAAGAAAAAAAGGGGAAGGAAGGAAGAAAGGAAGGAGAGAGAAAGGAAGGGAAAGGAAGAGAAGAGGGCGAAGAGAGGGAGGAGAGAAGAAAAAAGAAGGAAGGAAGTTGGTTGACTGGGTGGCTGGCTGAGCAGATGGATGGGTGCACAGGAGTGTAGTTGTGTGAGTGGTGGGTAAAATGTGGCATGAGTTTCGGGAAGTGGATAACATCAAGAGTTCAGGTTGGAGATGGGGTTTTAAAGGCATACTAAGGAGTTTTTATAGTATTTGGCAGTGGAAAAGGCTAAGCATTAATGGTTTTGTATTTAAATGCATGAAGTCACATCCTGTTTCTGTCACTACCCCTGTGAGGTTTTAGAAGTTTTTTAACATGGAAACATGGTAGGAGGAGCAGGTTGAGATATCTGGAATCTAAAAGGTCTGAAGGATTACATGGCATAGAGCTCAGGAGAGAAGTCTTAGACAGTTAGAAGTAGATTAAATGACAATAAAACTGGTAGCTGAAACAATGACCCCAAATGAGGGGGAAAATAGTACAAGTTGACTGAGGATGAAGCCCTGAAAATCAGTCATTTTATGGAGTGGGAAGTTACCTACATGAATAGCACCCATAAAAGAACATGTTTGGGAAACCAGTCAAGGCCCAGTAAAGAGGAATACCATAAAACATGGGGGAGCAGGTCAATTTGAAGGAAAGAGTTGAACAAGATATGTAACTCTACCATGTCTCTGAATGTCCTATTTCCCTAACCCTACCACCCTAGGACTGAGAAAGATGGGGCATCAACTGGAGTGGACACCATCTGCACTTACAATCCTAACCCCATAGGCCCTGGTCTGAACATAGAAGAGTTGTACCAGGAGCTGAGTCAGCTGACCCATGGTGTTACCCTGCTGGGCACCTACACCCTGGACAGAGACAGTCTCTATGTCAATGGTGAGTGTCTGTGTTGCAGCGGGAGTCGCCTGCAGTCCCCTGTCTGTCTCCCTATATCAGTAATTCTCAACTGAAGGCAGTTCTTGGGGGACACCTGGCAATGTCCAGAAACATTTTCATGTCATGACTGGAGTGTGCTAATGACATCTAGTAGGTAGAGGCCAGGGGTGCTGCTAAAGATCCCACTATACACAAGGCAGCCTCCCACCATGAAACATTATCTAGACCAAAATGTCAACAATGTTGAGGTTTAGAAATTGCTGTACACAAATTCACAGTTCTGGTACAAGCCCAGCTTAACATACACCACAGGAAGTCAATTTTCTTTCCGTTTTCAACGCCTGGAAGGATATGTTTCCTTCTCCTATTGGAGCCCAGAAAGAACATGCAGATTCTCAAGAGAGAAGTGGGTGATGTGGGGCCCTGCAGTTAAGCCTTCCTCAGCTCTCACTCTACCTTATTCTCTCCATCATGACAACTTATGGCAATTTTCTAAGTTTCCATGGGCCAGACAGAACGACACTCATGAAACTATTTATGCAAAAACACCAGTACACCATGAATCATAACTGTTTATACAACACTGTTGACAACAAGGCCCTTAACAATAGTGCTAACACCGAGAACAACTCTAATAGTGGCTAAATCTCACCAAAAGGTTCTTATGTACCAAGAATTGTCTTTATTTCTATACTAGAGGCCTGGTACACAAAATTTGTGCTTTCGGTAGGGTGTGTCCCTCAACCTGGCCTTGCCCTCTCACAGTCCAGGAGCCCTGCGATTGATTGCCCCAAAGAGGTAGGCCCTGCCCACCTGGCTGGACTCCATGATGGATCACTACCACACAAGGAGGCCCAGGCTACCCACTGCAGCACCACCATGGGGTAGCCTGGGACTCCCTCTTTGGGATGATTATGGAGGCCCCCCCCCCCCAATTGATCTATCACCCCACCCGCCAGTGGCATGGGCCTCCCTCTGCAGAGTGATCATGTATGGGTATGGGAATTGGTGACAGATCTCTGTTTTGTGTGATGCTGAACAAGTCATGTAACCTCTCTAAACACTAATGTTCCCTTAATAGAATAATCATACATACCAGGCAGGATTGTTCTGAAAATTAAATTAAAGCACAGCAATAACCCAAGAAAATCCCAGGGCTCCTCCGGGTCCAGTCTTTACTCAGTCTCTCACAGAGTATCAAAGGAGATGCAATTCATGACCCAGAGAAATAATTATGAAAAATTCTTTTCCCCCAATTTCTTTCATGCTCCCAAGTTTTACACCATCCACCTGACCTCTAAGTCTCCTCATTTTTACTATCCTACTTCATCTCCAAATTTTCTCTAATATTTCCTTCCCTCTATCTTGCTACACTTTTACCTTCACATACCACTCTCTTAAGCTGCTGCAGTTTTCTCTATTATACATAACAAAAAGCAGAAATTAAGCGAGAAGAATAAAATGATACTATCATAAAATATTGTGTCGAGAGAGAATGTGACAGAAGAAGGATAAAATTATCTTAATGGATTGAGAGAACCACAGATAAAGCTTGGAGCACAAACTTGGTCATTAATTTGCCCCCTTACCCTTGTAATGTGTTCAGCATTATTTCTGGTGCATAGTACATTCCCAATAAGTAGGAAGAGCTATTATATCAATAATATTTTTATTTTGGTGATAATAATGGTACTGATGTTCATCATTATTTTTAAAGGACATAAAGGCACCAAAGGAAATGTAATCATTATTATTCATTTACGAGTTTCAAAAAGTTGTTAATGAATTTCATTTCTAGGTCCACCATCTACCTTTTCTTAAATTTTTACTCTTTTCTCCCTATCTGCAGGTTATAATCGTCGCAACTGGACCCCTGCCACAAGCAGTGAGTATTTGAAACTGAAACTTGAGTGCCCAGCAGACCCTTCTGCCCCAGAGAGCATTTCTCAGGAGAAAGTTACTACTGTCTCCTACAAAGTTTCCAGGTTCAGCCTCATAGCAGCCCTTAGCCCACCCAAAGTCTTGCTCTGAGTCAAGATAGAAGCCCAAATTCCAGTGAACAGCTTCTGCATCACATGCCTTCAGGATGGGACTCAATTATTTTCCCCATGTTTTATTTTCATTTTTCTCAACTTCAGTGACTTCTGCATTCTGTCAAGAATCTTTAATGTCTATCTTGCCCATTCTCAGCTCTACAGGTTGGAATTTTCTCTCTGAGTTCTACAAAATGTTACCTCTGATGGTCTGGTCCCTATTTACCACCCCACTTGTCTCCTCGCTCTCTCCATCACTCTGTAGGCTTTGGCCACATCAGACATTTGTCTACTCTTCTAATGTCCTAACCTTTGTCTGGCTTTTATACTAGCCTTTCCTGATGATCAGCTATTCCTGCCTTCTTATTGCTTTGCAGTTCCACCATCACCTTCTCTGAAAGACTTTCTCGGACCACTTTACATGGAGTAGCACTTCTTCTGAATACATGCCTCTGTCATCTCACCATGAGGATTTCTTTCATGAATTTACTACCATTTGGTTTACTTTGTCTTTATTTGTTACCCTGGAGCTAAATAACTAATAGGCGCTCACTTTATATTTATAGATTGAATGGATGAAAGTAGCAAACTCTATACATCCACATCTGTGGATTTTCTTTGAACATACAGAAAATCATTCAGGATTTTAGTCATGAATTGAATCCTGCCCTATCTCCTTGTCTTGCCCATATGTGGATCTGAGAGCATCTGAGTTTCTAGGAACCTAATAGGGAGGTATGATTTTTGCCATGAAACCTGTCTTACCTTAAGATTTATTTTAAAAATTAAGTCCCGGTGTCTGTTAATACTTATGGCATGACCGAGGCTGGGTATCCCTAATCCTTAATCCTGCTGTGTGAGTCTGAAGGTATGGGATAAAAACTGGTGTCCTATAATTTGAATTTTGCCTTCAGACCTATATTTTGTAAGTCATGAGACTGCAAATGTTGTACATATTTTAAACAGATGCTCACTGTTCCACCCTTATCAACTCAACCATTTATGTAACATGCCTCGCTCCTACAGGCTTTAAAATATGTGACATCTTTAAAATATATAGATCAAGTCATTCTATGACGGATGATATCATTTTTTTCTTAATCATTCAAGATATATTCTTAATTATTGTTTTTCAAAAGTTTGGTTCTGATTTGTCTGGCACAGTTTTCTTTAATTTATACTGTTTGGAATTTTCTAATTTTCCAAAGAAAGTTGGGGAAATTTCAGCCACTATTTCTTCAATTACTTTCTACACTAATCTCTTTCATTCTCGTCCTCCAGTGAAATGATAGTGTCCCACAAGTCCCTGAGGCTCTGTTCATTTTTCAATCAGTTGTTTTATTTTTTCTTCAGACTTGATAATTTATAATAATATATTGTAATTTTGATTACCAACCCTTTTCTCTGTCATCTCCATCCTGCCCACCAAGTGATTTTCCTAAAATCTCAGGTACTGCCCTGACTGGTTTGGCTCAGTGGATAGAGTGTCGGTCTGCGGACTGAAGGGTCCCAGGTTCGATTCCGGTTAAGGTCATGTACCTTGGTTGCCGGCATATCCCCAGTGGGGGGTGTGCAGGAAGGCAGCTGATCGATGTTTCTCTCTCATTAATGTTTCCGGCTCTTTGTCCCTCTCTTTTAAAAATAAATAAATGAATAAAATCTTAGGCACTGTATATTTCAGTTCTACAACATCCATTTGACTTTTATTTTTTATTTTTATAGTTTCCCTTTCTCTACTGAGAACTTCTATCTTTGTATTTATTTCAAGTGTTTACCTTTATCTCATGGATCATAATTCTAATAAGTGCATTAAAGTCTGTACCTGCTATTTCCAACATCTGGGTCCTTGGAGTTTGCATCTGTTAATTGTCTTTTCCTCAAGGATTAGGTAGATATTTTTCTGTGTGTGTTTTTTTAAGTCAAATAATTTTGAGTAATATCTTAGATATTGTGAATTATGCTCGTGTATACTCTGGGTCCTGTGATCCTCTTGGGATTGTTATTATTATTATTGTTTGTTTTAGCAAGTAACAAGCTGTCTCCTCTCTGGCCCACAGGAGCCCTATTTCCTAGTTCTATTTGGTTAGAAATATGGGATCTCTATCTTAAATTTACCTACCTATGCCCTCACTCCTTCACCCACAGCTCCATGATTGGGACCTGCCTTTAAAAATTTATTAGAAAAAGGAGTTTTAAAAAGAATAAAACTCTCCACTTTGGGAGTATATTATTGGTTTAAATTTTTTTATTGTGATAAAATAGTCATAACATAAAATTTACCATTAAAGTATACAGTTCAATAGTGTTAAGTATATTCACATTGTTGTGTAATTAATCTCCAAAATTTTTTAACCTTGCAAAACAAACTCTGTAGCCATTAAAAAAATAATCTCCATTTCCCTTTCCTCTCCTCTCCTAGCAACTACCATTTACTTTCCATCTCTATGAATTTGACTCTTCTAGGGACCTCATATGATACCAAATGTTGAATTATACAGTAGTTGTACTTTTGCTTATCCATGTTTTTGCATGTGTCAAATTTTCTTCTTTCTAAGGGCTAAATAATATACCATCATATGAATATATCACATTTTATTTATTCACTCATTTGTCAATGGATACTTGCTTTGCTTCTACCTATTGGCTATTATAAACAATGCTGCTATGAACATATGAATATAAATGGAAAGGTCTCTATTTTTAGGCCAAAAGGCATCATAGCTGTGCCTTTCTTTGTCTATGGGACTTGGATAAAATTTATTTTCTCTGAGCCTCCATGTCCTCCATATGTAAAATGGGACCTGTAACACCAATCTATCAGATCTGTGATGTGGGTGAGCTGAGATGTTGCAGATAAAGTGCTCAATACAAAGGCTGGAACACAATTATTGCTCCATAGATTCTATTTGTAGAGGGTACAGTCACCCAGATCAGACCTCTGGCCTTTTGATTCTTCATACTCGAGCCCCTATGTGACTATATAGGGTTTTTTGTTAGTTTGTTTTGTACTAGGGCACTTTTGAGAAAGAAATAGGGGTTGAATTAATGTTTACACAAGAACAATATGATTACCCATGGAAAACTAGATGTGGACTCTCCATCTAAAATCCACTCTGCAAAGATGGTCAGTGAAGTTCAGGCAGGGTCATTCTCATGGGAGAAACAGCCTTGACCACTCAGTAGTTGCACATCCCATCATGAAGTCAGAAGACTATGGGAGATTTTGCCCCAGGGGGCAGCAGACTGACTGCTTCTCTTCTTTCACCATAATATGTATCAATTGCTTCTCTTTTGGCACATTAGTCTGAAAAGAGTTGAGGTTCTTTTTCCAACTAAAATTATCCATCAAGTATAGAGGTGCCTCCCTATTTCTAAGTTTGGCAGGATGCAAGAGTGACACAGTTGCCGAAACCAGTTTGGCTCAGCGGTAGAGCATTGGCCTGTGGACTGAAAGGTCCCAGGTTCGATTCTGGTCAAGGGCATGTACATTGGTTGCGGGCACATCCCCGGTGGGGGGGTGTGCAAGAGGCAGCTGGTCGATGTTTCTCTCTCATCGACGTTTCTAGCTCTCTATCTCTCTCCTTTCCTCTCTGTAAAAAATCAATAAAATATATTAAAAAAGAAAAAAGAAAAAAAAAAAGAGTGACACAGTTGGAGCATCTTAGGCCTGATTGGCTGGACACTGAGGCCAAAGTGACAACCCTGCCAGAGATCATAATGAATCTCCCTTCTTACTTTCCCACTGCAGGTGTGAGCCCTTCTCTGATGTCCTTCACCCTCAACTTCACCATCACCAGCCTGCGCTACACAGAGAGCATGGGGAAACAGGGATCTGAGATATTCAACAACATGGAGAGAATCTTGAATCACCTGGTGAGAGCCCCTCCAAGACCCTCTCTCCAATGCTTATTTTTATCCTTCCCATCTCCTCAGCCCATCTGCTCATCTCTCTCTCTTTCATCCCCAGCTCAAACCATTGTTCCAGAACAGCAGTATTGGGCCCTTCTATTTTGGCTGCAGATTGACCTTGCTCAGGTGAGAAGTTCAGAGTAGGCAATGTGGGGGGCTGACCCTGAGCTGGACCCTGACGGTCTGTACCCACTATCCTAAGGAGAGCTGACCACCAGTTTCTACTCTGGCTCACATTGTTTCCCTGATCATAAAATGGAAAATCCCCATAGTCTTTCCTTCCCAGAAAGTAAGGTTGAACTTTTCAGAAAGATCTTTCTTCTGAAACTCATGAGAAATCAACTTATCAATCATGTCAGCTTCGTCATGATAAAGCAGTGATTTCCAACCAGGAGTGATTTCACTCCCAGAGGATATTTGACAATGTTGGGAGAAAAATTTTGTTACCAGAACTCAAGGGTGGGTTTGCTACTGGTCTATAGTGAGGGAGGCCAGAGAAACTGCTAAATATCCCATAAGACACAGGACAGTCTCCCCGGGCCAAGATTTATCTGACCCAAATGGTACCAACGTTGAGAAACCTTGTTCGAGCGTATGCATTTGTCACATTTAGTCTAATAACTGACCTATCTGAAATACCTACCGAACACTCCCTTTTCCTACCATCCCCCAGCAGTGACCAAATCCTGACCAATCAAAGGTGCAGTTGGGATGTTTGCTACCCCCAGAGGGATTATTTAGCAATAAAGCATAGTTGTTATACAGTTTTATTTAACGTCTGCAATATCTATGTCAAATCCTAGCTTCCCTGTTTCAAGGTTGTGTGACTCCGACAAGTTACCTGATATCTCTGTCTTAACTGTCTCATCTATCAATTGTAGTGTCTCAATCTGCTTTTCTGCATAAAACATTTAGCTCATAATTCTGCTGAATGGCCTTTTCTGAGGATGGAATCCACAGCTCCAAAGATACTCACCATTGTCCCTCAACTATGATGCTATCTATTATTTTACTTTCCTACTGGTCTGATATTTTCTGGCTCTGGGATACCACACAGCCTCATCCTCATCCCCAGCCTAGGCTGGTTGCTTGGTCTCAGTGTTGCCTTTAAAATGCTCAATCATTACAAAATGCATTCATACCAAGAACTCTGGCCCTTTTAATACTTAATAAAATTTTCTGCTTTTTATTACCTCATTTGATAGATGAAATATGAGCCACAGAGAGATTGAGATATTTATCCAGTGTCACCCAGAAATTAAGTAGCAGAGCTGGGATTTAAGCTTTCCGACATTGCCTTTTTCCACTTTATCCAATACCCTCTCTGTCATGCTTGTCTTATTAAGATGTATGTTGCCTTGTTATGATTGTGATTTTAAAGTTTGGCACAAACATCAACATTTTGAGATGCTATATCCTCTCTGTTCAGAGATCTTTGCTGTCCAGTTTATTTCTAGCCCTCCCCCAGGACAACACATTTCAGGGTGCCCACCCTCCTGCTTCTCTGGGCCCTGACTTATAGTCCCCACCTCCCCGTCACTGTGTATCCTCCCTGACCAGGCCTGAAAAAAATGAAACAACCACTGGAATTGATGCTGTCTGCACATACTATTCTGACGATGTGGATCCTAAGCTGGACAGAGAGCAGCTGTACTGGGAGATGAGCGATGGGACCCATGGAGTGACCCAGCTGGGCTCCTTCACACTGGACAAGGACAGCCTCTACATCAATGGTGAGCATCCTTTTTGTAACCATTAGTTGAAGCTGAGAATCTGCACCCACTCATTCTATGTATGGTCTTCTGCCTGGGCAATCTCCTTTGATGTATGAAGGACCCCCACAGACCCTCCAGTTTGCAAATCTTTCTCTTTCCATGGCATCCATGCATTCCACAGAAATGATTTGTATATTTGTCTGAGACACAAAAACCTTTCTCCAGACAGATGAATGACAATATCCCTGTGGTTGAAGCAAATGAAGATAAGAGGCTGGCTATCTGTTTCCCTGCCAATATCTCAGAAATACCTCTAGACCCTGAGAAGCACAGTTGGCAAACAAATGCTCTAGAAATGTTGGTATAGGTATCATCCCAAATAAATTGCAAGCCCATGAAGGCAGGGACTGGGTCTTTGCCCCTGAATCATTACTGTTGAACTGTGTAGACTTGAATTCTGAGTCTGGGATAGTGGCAAGTGGTCCTCAGCCTGTATCCCTCCCTTGCTTGTATCCTAGTACTGTCTCCTTTTCTCATTTCAGGTTATACCCATCAGACCTCAGCTTCCACCCCCAGTGGTGAGTACTCAGGGCCCTGATTGCTAGGTGCTCCAGGCCACCTATAGACAGCAACTGATTCCCCATCCCAGGGCTTTGGCAGGAGAGGAAGCCAGAGGACCCAGTTATCTCACATACTCTACATCAATGGCTTGGGCTGGACAGGAAAGCTGCACAGAGTCATCCATGCTACACTCAGGGTCCCCATTCTTTCTCCAGACCATTTCTCTTCAGCTTCCGTGGCCTCCACTCTCTTCCCAAGGACCTCGCTGGTACCAACCCACTTCTCCAGCTCCACAGGTAGGTGGCTTCTCTTCTAGCTCCTTCTAGGAAGCCTCAAAACTGGGACCCAGGAAGTGCAGGAAAAGGCTGCTGTTTGGGGAACCTAGAACTGCCATGGGCACCCTTTGCTCTGAACTCCTCAAGAGCAGAGAACGTGAACTCATCTCTCCAGCTGTTGACCTTTGACAATTTACTTACCCTCTTGGTGCCATAGTGTCCTTACCTAACAAGTGGGAATAATAATACTTCATAAGCTCATTATGAAGTTAAATGAAAATGTATGTAACAACACCTAGCACTGGAATTATCAGAATATTTAGTTCAACAAATACTATTGGGCATGTGGTCTGTGCTGGGCAGGGGCTATAAGATGTTAAGTCAGGTGTGATCCCTCCCCTCTCCCAGTTTACAGTATATTGAGAGAGATTGAAATTAAATATACAGTAACAATTGATAATAACTATGGAAGATAACCATGTTGTTCAGCACTCACTACATGCCAGGCCCTATCCTATTCTTTTTATTTATAACTTTTCATTTTGATATAAATGTAGTTTCACAGGAAATTGCAAAAAAAAAAAGTGCAGAGATTTCTGTACTCTACACAGTTTCTCCTCCATGATTAACATCATATATAAACTAGAGTCCACTGTCAAAACCAGTAAGTAAATTGACATTATTAGATCTGCAGAACTCCAGATTTAGGTTTTACTATTTACATGTACTTGTATGTATATGTGTAGTTCTCTGCCATTTTATCACATATGGAAACCACCACCACAATCAAGATACAGAATAAGTCACACGACCCAGCCCAAGCCCTGGACACTACTAATCTATAAACCATGTCTACAGTTTTGTTATTCTGAGAATGTTATATCAATGGAATCATACAACATGCAACTTTTGGCAAATTCCTTTTTTTTAACTCAGCCATAATGCACTTGAAATGTGCTAACTCCCTTATTAATCATGTAACCTCCAAAATTTTCTTACAGTAAGGAGTATGATTCTCCTCATTTTACAGTTAAAGAAATGGAGATACAGACAGGTTGAGTAACAAAACCCTGGTCTCATGCTGATGAGGGTCTATGTTGAAACCAACATAGAATTTACCATATCAGTTATGTCTAAGTGCACATTCACCATGTTGTGCAACCATTACCACTATCCCACTTCCAGGACTTTTCAACATTTGGAATGGAGACTTGGTCCCCATTAAACACTAACTTCCCATTCCCCACCCCCAGCTCATGGTAACCTCTGTTCTATTCTCTGTCTCTATGAATTTGACTGTTCTAAATACTGTATATAAGGGGAATTATGAGTCCTTTATATCTGGCTTATTTCACTTAGCATAACATTTTCAAGGTTTATCTATAGTGTATCATATATCAGAAGTTCATTCCTTTTTATAGCTGAATACTATTCCATTCATCTTTTGATAGACACAGGTTGTTTCAACCTTTTGACTGTTGTTTTCAATAGCTATGAACATTTGTATTCAAATGACTGAGTCCTTGTTTTCAATTCTTTTGTGTATATACCTAAAGTGAAATTTCTGGGTAATATGGTAATCCTGGGTTTAACTTTCTGAGGAACTGATTTTCACACAGCTCTCCCAGCATTCCCACCAACAATGCATGAGGGTTCTAACATTGTCAGCAATACTTGTTATTTTCCTTAAAAAAAAAAAAAGCCATTCTAATGGATATGCATGTTACTGTGTCTAATAGCATCTTGCTTTGCTCTTTATATACCATTCTGTCTTTGTGTCCTAAGGTAGTTTACCTGCCTACTTTAGACCCCTGCTTCCTCAAATCTGGCCCTTTCATCTCAGTCCCCAGAAATTGCCTGAGAGCCCAGCCCATGTCTGATTCAGACATGGCCTCCTTTTTCCTTCCCTCTGCCATAGCAGCTGTTTCTTTCCTGGTGCCATTCACCCTCAACTTCACCATCACCAACCTGCACTACGAGGAGGACATGCAGCATCTGGGCTCCAGGAAATTCAACGCCACAGAGAGGATCCTGCAGGGTCTGGTGAGACCCTGCCCTCTGATGCCAACTCCCACCCATTTTACCTCTGTCCTACCCAGTAATGTCAGCCCAATCCACCCCACTTATGCCCCCACCTCACCATCTCTACCCTGTTTACCTCACCAATGTCTCAGCTCCTCCTGGCCTCCCTCAGTGGTTCCTTCTCACCTCCCCTCTCTTCTTTTATAGCTCAAATCTGTGTTCAAGAATAGCAGTCTGAGATTACTCTATGCAGGCTGCAGACTAGCCTCGCTCAGGTGAGATGACACCTTCCAATAACACAGCCCACTTGGGGTATAAGACCCTAATTTATGAACTCCAAGGCTTTGTCCAAATTTAGTACAACTACTGCCCATGGATACTAAGCATCAAAAATACCTACCCGTGTTTCCCCGAAAATAAGACATCCTCTGAAAATAAGATCTAGTGCATGGAAAGATAAGACATCCCCTGAAAATAAGACAACTTTGGGAGAAAAAATCAATATAAGACACTGTCTTATTTTTGGGGAAACAGGGTACAACAGCAATAACAGCATCTAAAAATTACTAAAACCCAGGCACTGTGGTGTTACTTTATATTTAATCTCATCAGTCCTTGCAACAACCTCATGAAGCAGGAGCAGAAGGTGTAACTGAGGCTTAGAGGGATTAAGGAACTTGTGCAGGTTTCACAGAGAAATCCCAGCATTTTGGGTTGTAGTTCCAAATACCTAGCTCTTAAGCAGCCCTGTCTCCTCTGCCCACATTATGACCTTGTAGGTTGTGAAAAATACCAATCTGACAACTTTTCCAAAGGAACTGGACCAGAGGATCTAAGAGGGGAAGAAAAGCTAGTATTATAGAGAGAATGTATGCTCCTAAATAGGTCAGACTCAGCTGAAGGGAGCCTTCCCAGCACAGTACAGCTGGGGGTTGAGGTGGGCACAGTCCCCTAAAAAAGCCTAAAAAGGGAATCTGGACATTCCAGACTGTGATGGAAATGGGTCAACACTGGTATAATATCCAATATACATTATCAAAATTATAATCTGTATTACCAAGTGTGTGTGTGTGTGTGTGTGTGTGTGTGTGTATATATATATATTACTAGGTATATGTATAACAGGCATAATATATAATTTACAATAATAAAATATAAGTAAACATATATCATATATATTAGACATATGTTTATGTATATTTATTTATGTTACATGTAATATATACTATGTATATATACTATAATAGGTGTAATAGGTGGGGCTCTGTCACACATCTGTTGCTTTCCGAGGCTTCTCTCCCAGGCCTGTAAGAGGCTTGGAGCCCCATGGTTTTCTAGTTATTCCTTTATGGAGGTTATATTCCTGAATGCAGCAGATTCCTTGTTAACTAGAGTTTCCCAAGTTCCTGTCTTAGAGGCTGGCAAAAAGAGGGAGGGAAGGATGAATGGTGGAGAGAAAGTTGGAACAACAATGTGGAGGTTCTCACCCAGCTCTGAGAAGGACGGGACAGCCACCAGAGTGGATGTCATCTGCACTCATCGCCCTGAACCTGGAGGTCCTGGACCAGACAGAGAGCAGCTATACTGGGAGGTGGGACGGCTGACCCATGGAATCACCAGGCTGGGGCCTTACACGCTGGATAGGGACAGCCTCTATGTCAATGGTGAGCAGCTGCAGTGTGATCTCTTCCTCTATTGGTAGCCTCTGCCCTCTGACTTGAGATCACACTTCCTGAATGGCCTTTAGGCCCTTAGCCAAGTGCACTGAATGATTTGGACTCATGCTTTCTTCTTCATCTTAGACTGACTTCACTCTTAGGGTCTTATTTCCTGATGTGAGGGTGCTGTTGGAGAACCCCCAACAGCCTCTAGCCCATGAAACCCCCTCTATTGTACTGATCCCTACTTGGTTCCCCACCTCTCCCTGAACTCTTACCCACTAACATCCCTTGCTCTTGCTATAGGTTTCACCCATCAGAGCTCCACACTCATCACCAGCAGTGAGTATACAGCTGGTGTCCCTGGGCCCCCAACACCAGGCAGGGACAGAGCTGAGCCCTCTTCATGCACACATATGTCCTTTCCAGGAGGGAGGAGTTCCTGGGAGGACACACATTATCTACTGTCCCCTCTTCCCCAGCTCTAGAGGGGGTCCCAGCTCAAGCCCCATATGCAGTAAGCCAAATAAATAGTATCTCCTGCTGATGTTTCTGCCATGTGAGTGCCTTTCTGCTTTCACTGATGATGGCTTTTCTGCAGCTCCTGGGACATCCACAGTTGACCATGAGAACTTTGGGACTCCAGCTTCATTCTCCAGCCCCACAGGTAAGGACCAGTTATTGACACATCTGTTAGAGAGTGTTTGATGAGTATAAACATCTCTGACATTATTCACTCAAATAAAGATGGAAAGTCATAGTAAATCTAGTAATAATTAGTCAACAAACTTGGTGGATCCTTCTGGTGCAGAAATCAGAGCCCATGTGTGTGAGGGCTCAAAGGCTGCAGGCTGGACTGAACAGAGAGTCCTACCAGGCTCAGAGTAGGTTTCTCATCTGCCTTGTCGTTGCAGCAACAAGCCCTACCTTTGTGTTGTTTACCCTCAACTTTACCATCACAAACCTGCCGTATGTGCCAGACATGGGGCACCCAGGATCTGCAAAGCTAAACATGACAGAAGTGGTCCTGCAGTCCATTGTAAGAGCCCCAAGATGCCTGCTGCCCACTCCTCCTCACCTCTGCCATGCCTCCTTCACTTCTCCTGCTAACCTCCCTCTTATTTCTCCCCAGCTTGGTTCTTTGTTCAAGAACACCAGCATCGGCCCACTGTATTCCAACTGCAGACTGACCTCACTCAGGTGAGATGCTCGGGGGTGGATGTTCACATCCCATGCCTCACAGGCTTAGTTTCTGTTCTCCTCCTGTGCATGTTCCCCACCTGCCCAGTGTAGCAGCTCTAGGTATCTGTGACACTGCATCTATTGAGCTTCCTCCCAGTTCCTCTTCCTCTGGCTTCTATTTTGTCTTCTGAGAGGTCCTAACCAAGGTGTAGAACATTCCAAAATTATACTGTGCTGAGGAATATTAAAAAGCAAAAATGAACAGCCCTTGTGGCATGCACATTTCTTTTTTTTAAAATATTTTTTATTGATTTTTTACAGAGAGGAAGGGAGAGAGATAGAGAGCCAGAAACGTCGATGAGAGAGAAACATCGACCAGCTGCCTCTTGCACACCCCCTACCGGGGATGTGCCCGCAACCAATGTACATGCCCTTGACCGGAATCAAACCCGGGACCTTTTAGTCCGCAGACTGAGCCAAACCGGCTTCGGTGGCATGCACATTTCTTAACCCACATTTTAGGTGCCCAAAGGTGATACAAGATCTTGGCACTGCCCACACCTGAATATTTTTCCTCTAATCTGAGAGTGGGGTGGTAGGGAACTGGAACATGAAAGGTGAACATTGCGATAACTTAGTTTTAATCCACCTTCTTCATCCATTGATTATTAATGCTAGATATTTTGTCGCATTTTATTTTATTGTTTGCCTTCTAAGGAAGATAATCAGCTATGTGGCTTTTCTAGATGTTTCATTCTTGCAGTCTCCCTTATCATCAGTCCTGCATATGTCCTTTTACCTATGTTCTCCCCACCCTCAGGCCCGAGAAGGATGGATCAGCCACCAGAATAGATGCCATCTGCACCTACCACTCTGAGTCCCCAAGCACTAGGCTGGACAGAGAGCAGCTGTACAGAGAGCTGAGCCATGAAACCCACGGTATCACCTGGCTGGGCTCCTTCACGCTGGACAGAAACAGTCTTTATGTCAATGGTGAGTGGAAGCGCTGCCATCAGTTTCATTGCACACATTCTGAGTCTTCCGTCCTGTGGTGTGGGGAGGATTTGACCTTGTTTCAAGCTGGCATACTCCTTTGGTTGTTTTCCTTAAGAAGAGGCATCCATTCACAGCTTTTCCAGAGATAGATTGAGAAGTCAGACATTCAGAAGAGGGATGAAGGTAACCTGATATAGAATTTCTTCCTCTGCTCTAGTGGTATTCTTTGGGGTTTGTCTTTAGAGTTTTCATTTTGAGGGTACTTCAGAAATACTGTTTAAATAGATTCATGGATACTCGGCGGGCCCAGATTCTTGACACTTCCTCCCAACCCCCACTTTTATAACTCTTCACCTTATCCCTCTTTTCTGCAGGTTATACCCATCAGGCCCTGACCTCTACCTCCAGCAGTGAGTACTAATTTGGGTCCCACTATTGCTCTGCCTTGGGGCCCTCTCTTCTCTGTGCTATCCTCACCATACTTCTCCAGAAAGTGGAAAAGTCAGAAAACTTCCATTTTTCCACCCCTTCACTCTCCCACTCAGGAAAGAGAAGGCTGGCATAGGTTTGAGGACAAACTATCGATAGAAAAAAGTCCGAAGTTCCCATGGCGGGCCTTCTTTGACTAGGGAGGCCCTCATCAACCATATCTGACTCATTGTGTTTTCTTTTCAGTTGCTATGGCCTCCACCACGTCTCCAGCAACTTCAGCGACCCCAGTACCAGTCTCTATAGGTAGGAGCTTGCTCTATGTAATTTCCCAATAGAGAGCCATGACCATTTCTTTATTCATTTAGTTAGTATTCCTTTATCACTTTCTGTATAAAAGGCCCTGATAATGCAGAAGCAATCAGAATAGAAAGGGGCCTATTCTTTGATGGGCTTCCAGCAAGAAAGGTAGACAATAAAGACTTGAGGGTACAAAAGGTATTGAATTAGATCAGAATGGCCTTGGGTGAATTCTGTAGGTGTGTGGGGGAGGGTGGTTCTTTCTCTAGGCCACGTGTGTCAAACACAAGGCCCTCGGGCCAAATCCGTCCCGCCAAGCCTTGCAATGTGGCCCGCAAGGCGCTGTCATCACTGCACTCCGCTGCGTTTCCATCACAATGACAGTTTATGACTGTTCAGTAAACCATTCGGCCCGTGATTTAGGCTGGATTTTAGATTTTGGCCCCTTCTCTGATTGAGTTTGACACCCCTACTCTAGGCTTTTAGTTTTCATTTCCAGGAAACAAGGGAACCACATGAGCTCTGTGCATACCTAGAAATGCTCCCGATAGGTCGTGGTCAGGGATTTGGGCATTTTCTGGTTGAAATAGGGCCAGCTTTTTCACTCCTGGGCTCCCACTGGCTCATGATAGATTTCGATAACACCTAAGGTCCCAGATGAGGTCCTAGATGAGCTGTCATTGCCTCTATATTACTTAAGTCTATTGGCACTCATCAGTGAGGGCCTCCTGAAGGCATTAGGACCCTTGTCCCCTCACAGCTTTTCCAGAACTAGTTGTCACTGTAAGTGGGATCTGCCTATGGTCCTAGGTAGAGGGATTAGTAGCACAAACTCGGTCACCTGGATTCAAACCATGCTCTATCATTTAGAGATTGAGTGACTTGGGGTAAATTATTTAACCTCCCTTAGGCTTAGTTTTTACTTCTGTAAAATGGAGATAAGAATACTATATTTCTTCAAAGGGTTTTCCTCAAGGCTTAAATGAGTTAAAATGTAAGTAAAGCACTTAAAACAGGTCCTTATCCATAAAAACAAAGTATAAGCATTTCTTCAAACAATTTAAAAAGTCAATAAATAAGTGGATCTCATAGAAATAATGTAGATGAAATTAAAAAAAAAAACTCAGGAAAAGAGGGTATCTGTCTAGAATTTTAGCAAACTGCAGGGTCACACATGTTTGCTTTCTGCTTTATGATGAACTTACCTCCATAGTGCAGTTTATTATACTTGTCCTCAGTGCCCCTCAGTTCATGATGATATATGGGAACTCATCCCTTTGAAGCTGCCTGTTTTGAAAGAGGATACCTCTCAATGCTTGATGACTTGATGACACATGTGAGCTGCCTCCTGCTCAGGCACACTGAGCAGAGGGTGGGCTCAGAAGGCATCTCTCTCCTACCTCCACTGCAGGCACTGTTCCTACCCTGGTGCCATTCACTCTCAACTTCACTATCACTAACTTGCACTATGAGGAGGACATGGGTCGTCTTGGTTCCTGGAAGTTCAACACCACTGAAAGAGTTCTGCAAGGCCTGGTGAGAACCTTGCCCACCTCACTTCTGCCCCAGCTACTGAAGCTGGCCCACCTAATCCCTACCACACCCATAGAACTGACCCTCACTCTAGCCCCAACTCACTCTTGCCCCAACCACCATGCAAGACCCACCTACCTAAGTGTCACACCTGTGGAAGTAGACTCCACCCATCTTATCTTTATCTCCATGGATACAAGCCCAGCCCATTGATACCAGCCCCATCCATATCACTTCTGCCCTGCCCACCCACTTACTTCCCTTTCCTTCTTCTACAGCTGAGAATCTTGTTCAAGAATAGCAGTGTGGGTCCCCTCTACTTGGGTTGCAGACTGACCATGCTAAGGTAAGACCTTGGAATAACCAGCTAGGACAGCCTCAGATGTTCCTAGATCTAAAGAGTTTGGTTTGACTCCTTGTTGCCCTTCCTGTTGGAAGTGGGGTTGAGGAGGCGCTTGTTCTAGGACCAATGCTTCTTTTGATTTTATGTCCCCCATCAACTGTCTCCAGATTCTGCAGATGCCATCAGCAGGATTGAACTCATAGCCTATCGTCCTTCTTAATTGAACTCATAGCCTGTCATCCCTCCTCCCTTCATTTTGATCAGTGAGGGCAGTTCCTTTAGGTTTTAAATTTCATGCCCAGGATTTTCTGAAGCCAAATATGTCTCTTTCACTGGCTTTAATCTCAAATTTCAGCTGCACACGTGTCTCAAGTATGAGCTTTCCTGTCCTCAAGACTTTAGGATGCTGGTTTCTACTTTGCAATTTAATGGTGACTCTCTTACCCACTGACTCTGCTCAAAGACTTAGACTGGCCAGAAGTTGGTGAGCTTAGAGAATCTGAGTCTGACTTCTTACCTCTCTACCAGCCTCCTCATTTCCTATGGATCATTCCTTCCTGCCCCCATAAATGTCAGGACCCTTCCTAAAAAACTGTATTTATTGTTTTCCCCGTCATCAACTCTTGCCAGGCCCAAGATGGACAAGACAGCCACTGGAGTGGATGCCATCTGCACACATCACCCTGACACTGTGGGCCCTGGGCTGGACAGGGAGCGGCTGTACTGGGAGTTGAGCCAACTGACCTATGGTGTCACTAGGTTGGGTCCCTACACCCTGGACAAGGAAAGTCTCTACATCAATGGTGAGAGGCTGCCATTTTTTTTACATTTCAGCAGGTTGCACATTCTCCTTCATTTTTCTTTTTCCTTCATCCCTCCCTCTACTCATCTTATCTTTCTCTACTTGTGCAGGTTACACACACCAGACTCAGGCAACCACCCCTAGCAGTGAGTATTCTGTGGTTTATAAATCTCTATAACCCTACAAGTCTCAGTCTTTAAGAATGGAAGAGACCAGGCGTCTATTGCCTCCATGCCCCACCCCTACTCCACCCCAACCTCCAATGAAGAAGGACCATTACCATGACCACCTCCCTCTCTGGTATCTCCAAGGTAATTTGATGGTCCTAAGCCATTCTCTGTAACCTTTTTATGAAAACTATAGGTAGATCCTGAATTCCAAATTATCTCTCAGACCTTGGAAGAATGAAAAGCAGGACCTCTCACTAAGAAAAATTTTCCAAGTGGCCAACTTGCCAAATCAGTAAAGGATCTATTCTCCAGCTTACCTACTTAAACAATGGCTTGTTTTAAGAAATGTTCTTTTTGAATATATTAAATAGATATGACTTTATTCTTATAATAACTTGATAACCAGTTGAAAGGTTATTACTTTGGCCTTTCAGATAACAAACAGTCCATGTGCAAAGAGGCTAAGATACAGCAACCATCTCTGGATCATTAATATTGCACCCTCATACCATCATCTTCACTTTCTGCAGGTGGCCAAAGTTGGGAACCACGTAAAATAAAATATTCCATTGCCTCCACTCTCTACCCCCACTCCATCTCCAGCCTCATATAAACAAGAAATGATCCCCATAAATAGCCCCAGTCATGGGCACCCCATCCCTTTTATGTCCAAGCTGATGGGGTCCCCAAATTAGGCAGGGGTTGTGTTCCAGTAACCCTTTTCCCCACATCTGATCCAACACTGACTCAGAACATGGCTTTTCCATCCCCTCTCCAAAGCAGATGCTGGCCCTGCCCTCATGTCCTTCACCCTCAACTTTACCATCACCAACCTGCACTACACGGAGGACATGCAGCCAGGCTCCGCAAAGTTCAACTCCACAGAGTCAATTCTACAGTATCTGGTGAGAGCTCCTGCTGTCCACTTTGCTTTCTAATTTCCACTCCACTCCTCCTTGCTACAAGTTTGGAGGATTTAGAGGGCTAGAGAGGCAGGCAGTTCCAGCTTCAAAACTTGGAACGGCCACAGACAAGTGATGTGACTTTGGAATAGTGATTAGTCTTTGTGGTATTGTTTCCTCATCTGTGAAACTGAGACAGTAAGTCTTTTATCCCAAAGGGTTCTTTTGAGAATTAAATGTGGTATGAGAATATTAGGGAGCTGTTGTGTGTTGTTTTTTTTTTTAAAAAGCATTGTGTTTTAAATGATGATTAGTTTTATTCTTATTTTTTATTCATCCACTCCTTCCTTCTCAGCTTGAACCTCTGTTCACCAGCAGCAGCATTGGTTCATTCTACACTGGCTGCAGACTGACCACACTAAGGTGAGACCTCATCTCTATCTTGCCTTCATAGGTGTGGTAAGATGTGGGCTGGTTGGGCTGGCCATGGTCTAGACCACATGTGTCAAACACAAGGCCCGCGGGCCAAATCCGTCCCGCCAGGCCTTGCAATGTGGCCCGCACTGCGCTGTCATCACTGCACTCCGCTGCATTTCCATCACAATGACAGTTTATGACTGTTCAGTAAACCATTCGGCCCTCGATTTAGGCTGGATTTTAGATTTTGGCCCCTTCTCTGATTGAGTTCGACACCCCTAGTCTAGACTGAGCTATGGGAAGTGAAGTGCCTCGAGCACAATATATAAGTAGATGCTCACCGTTAGGTGCAGCCAGACTTGCAAGACATGAATGGGACAGACCCAACTACAGTGTTAGTTAGAAGGATGTGAACAGGAAACAGCAGGGCAGCACTGGACATTTGTGTTTTGCAAGAAAGCTCTCGGCAGTTGAAGGGTTATTACTTTGGCCTTCCAGGTAACAGTCCATGTGCAAAGAAATGAAACCTCAATGGATAGGTGCTGGAGCCACCCTGGCTCAGATGTCCCATGCCCCAAAGGGAAATTAATCTATTGTAACAGTTCTGCCCAGTTAACAGGGCCACCCCACTGTCTCAACCCAAACCTATAGTTTCCTGCTGGTTAAAAATGTCCATTTATTGTACTCCCAGAAAAGATGCAGGCCAAAAGCAGCACCAATAGGCAATGAAACTGACACTGCACCTTGTCAAGTAGGAGACCAGAGCTAGAAGCAGTTTAACTCCAGGTAGCTTCCATCCTGCTGATGTACAAGGGACACTCGCACTCCCTCCCCACACACATCAACTTCCCCACTTCCCCACCCCCATTATGCTCTCTGCCAGTGCAACCTGAAGGGTCTCCCAGGTTATTGTTTTGGGCCAAGTTTTCCCTATTGTCCCAGAGAGATGGTAATGCAAGAGGCAGGTGGGCAGTGGTGGGAGTCTGCTATGCAGTGTCTCATGCTCAGGTACATCTAAAACTTGGTCTGGATTATCTTTTTAAGAGCTGATGAGTCTTTTATTCAGAGCTACTCTCCATTTTCCTTAAGAAACGATGGGTGTTTTGTAACTATTTGTTTAATTAAACAATTAATTATTAGCACTTCTAATGTACTTGGCAGGAGGGCTGGGTATTTTATATAACACATTTCTGAATCCCATGATGTTGCACCAACGTGCTGCAAAGATGGGAGAACTGAGAGAAGCCATGTGGATTATTCAACAAGTGACAGCACTAAGGTTGAACTGATGGGCGTCTGATTCTAAAACATCCACTAGCCCTAGATGGGTTTCTCAATGGTTAGAGCATTGGCCCTCAAACTGAAGGGTCCCAGCTTCGATTCAAGTCAAGAGCATATACTGATGTTGAATGTTCAATTGCCAGCCCCAGTTGAGGCATGTGTGAGAGACAACCAATCGATGTGTGTCTCTCACATCAGTGGTTTTCCCTCTCTGTCTCTTCCCCTACCTTCCACTCTCTCTAAAAACCAATGGGGGAACATGTCCTTGGGTGAAGATTAAAATAAAATAAACACCCATTCTGGTACTTTGTGGCTCAAAGATGCCCCTTATCCTGTGATTGCTTATGCCTGGACCACGAAAGCAGATAAGCAGGCTTCCACATACAAGAAGGCTGAGGAAAGATGTCCTACCAGGATGTCATAGTCCTGTTTCCATATCTATGTCCTTCTCTCCCCAGGCCTGAAAAGGGTGAAACAGCCACTGGAGTTGATGCCATTTGTACCTACCATCCTGACCCTGCAGGCCCTATGCTGGATAGGGAGCAGCTCTACTGGGAGCTGAGCCATCAGACCCATGGTGTCACCTGGCTTGGTTCCTACACCCTAGACAAGGATCATCTCTATGTCAATGGTAAGCCTCTGGTGGTGACAGATGTCCTCTGCAGCACCAGTTGGATTCTTTCATCACTGTTCTGAGCTCTGACCAGAGGATACACCCATGTCTGCTTCCAGATTTCTCTCTCCTCACTCTTCCACTCCTTGTGAGGTCCCTGTTTTTCACCATATGTGTATATGTCACACCCAGAGAGTGTTGGGAAGTCACAGAAAGGTTATAGGAGCATGTCACCATCTGTAGGGACACAACCTCTTAATGGCATCTACTCTTCTCTTACACCAGTAGTCCAACCCCCTCATCCCTTTCTTAATAACCTTTGAAACATCCAATCTCACTCTTACCTACTCTGCAGGTTACACCAGACCAGTCTTGACATCCATCCCTAGTGGTAAGTGTCCAAATCTTAGAGGGCTCTGTGGCCCCATAGTGATTGGTGGGTGTAGCTGGTTCTTCCTCCCTATGGCTAAGGCCTCGCTCGGTGTGGGGGAAGGAACTCTTAGGGTCTTTATTATGGCCACCCCCCTCCCAACTTCAACTCAGTTTGGGCATCAATGCCAAATTGTCTCTGGCATCTCCAAGGTGAAGCTGCATTATTCTTATTTCTGATGCTTCCTCCTCAGTGTCTATGACTTCTACACCCTCCTTGAGAAACTCATTGGCTCCAGTCTCCTTCTCCAGTTCTACAGGTAAGAGCATTCTCTCTATGTCTACTGCTTTCCAAGCTGCATGCAATGAGAAGTCAAGACAGCGTGCATGGGCAGATCAAGGCAAGGGGACAGTGTAAGAAGGATAAAATCTAGAGCCTGAGCTTCTGCCCTAAAATAGCTGTGTGGCCTTGGGAAAGTGCTTCATCTTTCTGACACTAATTTTCATCTCTGTTAGATGGAAATCTAACAGAGATGAAAATTAGTGTCAGAAAGATGAAGCAATTTCATCTAGTGTCAGAAAGATGAAGCACATACAAATCTTGGAGGCACATCCTAACATCTCTGTTAGGATGTGCCTCCAAGATTTGTATGAGGATTACATGAAATACCAGATGGAAAGTGCTAACAAACGTTATAATGTAGCATAGAGTAAGTCCTTACCAAACATCAGCTGTTATTGCTGCTGTTTTTGTTGTCATTATTATTGTTGTTGTTATTATTATTATTATTAGAGGCCCAATGCATGAAATTTGTGCATGTGGGCGGGGTCCTCTCAGCCCAGTCTACACCCTCTCTAGTCTGGGACTGTTGGCTCCTAACCACTCGCCTGCCTGCCTGCCTGATTGCCCCTAACCATTCTGCCTGCCAGCCTGATTGCCCCCTAACCGCTCCCCTACTGGCCTGATCAACTCCTAACTGCTCCCCTGCCAGCCTGATCGCCTCCAACTGCCCTCCCCTGCCAGCCTGTTCACCCCCAACTGCCCTCCCCTGCCAGCCATCTTGTGGCGGCCATCTTGTGATGACATGGGGATGACATGAGGGCCACCTAGGCTTTTATTAGTATAGATTACTATTATTAATGTTCAAAATAAAGCTTTCCTGTTCTGGGGAGAGATATTCTGAGCTTCTGCAGCAGATGTGAATACCAGACTTACACTACCCCTCTGCCCCTGACCTCTAAATTTAGCAAAGGCAGTGATTCAGGGTGTGATATCTTCTTTCTCAACTTCACTACAGTCTCTGTCCTTGCCCTGGTGCCATTCACCCTTAACTTCACCATAACAAACCTGCACTTCACGAAGGACATGCAACATCCAAGCTCAGTGAAGTTCAACAAAATAGAAAAAATCCTGCAGCACATGGTAAGTCTGCTCATGCCCACCTCATTCCTACACTGCCCACTGATGGCCACCATGCCCACGGCTATCAGTCCCCTACCTCTCCTATGCTCCATTCATCTCTCCCTGCCTTCCAACTGATGCAAACACTGCTCTTCTCATTCCAGCCCTGCTCCTGCCCTTCCCTATCAGTCCTTCTACTCACCTCTTTCTCCTCCCTCAACAGCTCAGATCCTTGTTTAAGAACACTAGTATCAGCCTCCTCTACTCCAGCTGTCAACTCACCTTGCTCAGGTAAGACCACCAGAGATGCCCCAGTAAGGCACAGTGGAGATTTTATCCACAGTCCTCTAGGGCTGGGTCCTCCCTTTGATCTCAGCCTTTTCCAGCCCCTTATCTGAAACAGCCACTATCCCTCCAGTTCTGGCCCTTGGTTCCTGCACTGGACCTTTACATCCTCAAGAGTCTCTAATCTCACATGCAATATTTGATAGGAGCAAAACAAAACATAATAACCTGAAAGCATGAACCGAATTCTTTCATAAGGATGCATTCTTTCATATTCTCCTTCACAAAGAATAAACCCACAGCCTACCATGCCCCCAACCCACACTGTATATGTTTATTTTTTTTATTTGAATTCATTGGGGTGACATGGGTTAATAACTAAACTTATATAAATTTTAAGTGTGTAATTCTATAATACTCATGAATATTGCATTGTTTGCTCACCAACCAGTGTTTAGACTTCTTCCATCGCTATACCAGGTTAATAATGTGGATTTTTTTTTCAATAGGTGGAGTTACACATATGTTGATATATATGCAATTTGATATGTATGCTATTTTTTTGAATTGACAACATGCTTCAAAACTTCCTATGTCAAATTTGCTGAAGGTGTTAACATAGATATTTTTACCCTTAAATATGTCTAATTTCATCCCCCCAAAAAAGAGCATTTGTAGGAAGTTTTAATTCATTACTTTATTTTGAAGAAAAGTGCTGCTGAAAGTTAGTGTTTACTTTGGGAAGCTTATGGTGAACATGCTCCATCTCAAGATACTTGTGAACGCTGGTTTAAATCTTGAAAAATGTGATTTCTATGTGAAAGACAAAGAACATCCAGGTCAATCGAAAAAGTTTGAAGACCAACAATTAAATTACAAGTAGTATTGGATGAAGAATCATGTCAAACTCAAAAACAACTTGCAGAGCCGAAACCGGTTTGCTCAGTGGATAGAGCATCGGCCTTCGGACTGAAGGGTCCTGGGTTCGATTCCAGTCAAGGGCATGCACCTTGGTTGCAGGCACATCCCCAGTGGGGTGTGTGCAAGAGGCAGCTGATCGATGTTTCTCTCTCATTGATGTTTCTAACTTTCTAACCCTCTCTTTTCCTCTCTGTAAAAAATCAATAAAATATATATATTTTTAAAAAGTTATTTAAAAAGAAAAACACAAAACAACTTGCAGAAAAATTAAACGTTGCTCAGCAAACAATTTCTGGTCATTTACAAGCAATGGGAAAGATTTTAAAGGAAGGAAAATAGGTGCAAAGTCAAATGGAAAACTGAAAAGTCATCAGTAAAATGTTGCTTCAAAGGCACAAAAGAAAGTCTTTTTTGCATCAAAAAATAGGTGCAAAGTCAAATGGAAAACGAAAGACAAATGGAAAACTGAAAAGTCATCAGTAAAATGTTGCTTCAAAGGCACAAAAGAAAGTCTTTTTTGCATCAAATTATGACTCGTGATGAAAAGTGGGTTTATTTTGAGAATCTCAAATGCACAAAATCATGGATTGAGCCAAGACCACCATCAATATCGACTGCAAGGCCAAAACACTTTGGAAAGAAGACAATGATCTGCATTTGGATCAGGAAGGTGTGGTGTATTATTAGCTTCTAAAACCAGGTGAAACTGTTAATACTGATCGCTACCAACAAATAATCAATTTGGACCACGCTTTGATAGTGAAACAACCAGAATGTGCCAGAAGACATGGCAGAATAATTTTGCTTCATGATAACAGACCATCACACACTTCAAAACCAGTTAGACACGTTAAAAGATCTTGCCTGGAAAATACTAACCCACCCGCTGTATTCACCAGACCTTACTCCTTCCGATTACCACATGCACTTTCTGAGCAGCACTTCAAAATGTACGAAGAAATAGAAAATTGGGCCTCTGAATGGTTTGCCTCAAAACGAGAAAAGTTCTATTGGGACGGTATCCACAAATTACCTGAAAGAGAGGGGAAATGTGTAGCTAGCGATGGACATTACTTTGAATATGCACTTTTGATGTTTCTCTTGAAATTATTATGTTTTCTTTGATTACAAAATCTACATTATTAACTGGTACGCCTGGTATATTTGACCCCTTTACCCTCTTCAACCTCCCCCCAACCTCTTCTGTTGTCTGTATCTATGACTTTGTTTGTTTTGTTTGTTCATTTGTTGCTTTCTGTTTTCTATCCCACATATGAGTGAAATCATAAGCTTATTTTTTTCCATTTGATTTATTTCACTTAGCAGGATACTTTCAAGGTTCATCCATACTGTCATCAAATCTTTATATTTCATCGCTTCTAATGGCTGAGTAGTATTATATTGCATATATTTACCACATCTTTTTTATATAATCATCCATCGCAGGACATTATTTTCATGTCTTGGCTTCATGAATAATGCTGCAATGAACATACAGTGCATATATATTTTTAAATAAATGTTTTCAAAAAATTTCAAGTAGATATCCAAAAGAAAGGTTTCTGAATCATGTGGTAGTTCTATGCTTAATTTTTGGAGGAAACTCCGTACTATTTTCCATAGTAGCTGTACCAGTTAACATTCCTACCTGCAGTGAATGAGGGTTCCTTTTTCTCTACATCCTGTCCAACACTTGTTATTTCTTGTCTTGTTGATAATAGCCATTCTAACAAGGGTAAAGTGGTATCTTATTGTAGTTTAATTTGCATTTTCTTTATAGTTAGTGAAGTTGATCATCTTTTCATATGTGTATAAATGGCCATTTGTATGTCTTCTTAGGAAAAGTATCTGTTTGGTCCTCTGCACATTTTTTTAATTGCATTGTTTGTTCTTTGTTGTTGAGTTGTAGGAAGAATTTATATGTTTTGGATATTAGCCCTTTATCAGAGGTATTGTTTGCAAATATCTTCTCTCATTTTTGCCTGTTTGTTTTGTTGATGGTTTCTTTTTCAGTGCAGAAGCTTTTTAGTTTGATGCAGTCCCATTCATCTGTTTTTACTTTCACTTCCCTTGCATTTGGTATCAAAGTCACAAAAGCTTCTATGAGACCAAAGTCCATAAGTTTAGTACCTATGCTTTTTATTTATTTTATTGTTACCAGTCTTATGTTTAGGTCTGTGATCCATTTTGAGTTAATTTTTGTGTATGGTGTCCAATAACAGCCTAGTTTCATCCTTTGGCATGTGGCTTTCCAATTTTCCCAACATCATTTACTAAAAAGGCTTTCTCTTCTCCATTATATGTTTTTGATCCTTTGTAGAAAATTAGTTGTGGGTTTATTTCTGGGCTGTCAATTCTGTTCCATTTTTATGTGTGTCTGTTTTTCTGCCAATACCATACTGCTTTGATTATTGTAGCTCTGTAGTATAATTTGAAGGAAGAGAGTATGCTACTTCTGTCCTTGTTCTTCTTTTCTCAGGATTGCTTTGGCTCTCTGGGTTTTTTTTTTTTTTTTTTTTTTTTTTTTTTTTTTTTTTGTGGTTCCATACAAATTTGATGAAATGTTTGTTATACTTCTCTGAAAAGTGCCATTGGGATTTTGATGGAGATTGCATTAGATATGTATATTTCTTTAAGTAATGTGGCTATTTTAATGATGTTGAGTCTTCTGATCCATCATGATTGTCAGCTATTGGCTCTGGGCAAATTCCTGATCTTCTCTGTGCCTTGATGTTTCTTCTGTAAAATGATGAGATTAATAATGATATTTAAAGAGTATGGAAATCATTTAAATGATTGTCTTTCTCATTTTTTAACAATGTCTTGTAGTTTTCATTGTATAGGTCTTTCACATTCTTTGTTCAGTTTATTCCTAGGTATTTTACTTTTTGTTGTAATTGCAAATGGAATTGGTAGTGTGGGTTTTTTTCCATTTATTTTTTCTGAAATTTTATTGTTAGTCTATAGGAATGCAGTAGATTTTTTTACATCAATGTTATATTCTGCAACTTTATTGTATTTGTTGTCCTAATCACTTTTTTGGTGGATTCTTGCCATCTGAAAAAAGTGACAATTTTACTTCTTTCCAATTTGAACGCCTTTTATTTCTTTCTGTTGCCTGATTGCTCTGGCTAGAACTTCCAGTACTATGTTGAATAATATTGATGAGAGTGGACATAATTTTTGTACCTGATTTTAGGGTTAAAACTTTCAGTTTTTCACCTTTAGCTGTGATATTAGCTAGGGGTTTGTCTTATATGGCCTTCATTATGTTGAGATGCCTTCCTTCGAAACCCATTATATTAAGTGTTTTAATCATAAATGAATGTTTTATCTTGTCAAAGGCTTTTTTGCATTAATTTATATGATCTTATGATTTTTGTTTTTTATTTTATTGATATGTGCATGACAGGGATCAATTTGCTTATATTGAACATCTTTATGTCCATGGAGTGAACTCCACTTGGTCATGATATATTATCTTTTTAATGTGTTGTTGTATTTGATTTTTCTAGTCCTTTTTAAAAGTTTTTTACATCTATATTTATCAGAGATATTGGTCTGCTCTTCCATGTGGGTTTGATGTAATAAGTATAAACTACTTTGGCTGGAAAGTTTATTTCAGCCCTTTTGCGATCTGCTGAGTAAGGATTTTACTGCTCTTTAGGCCACAGGGTGAGTGCTTCCCGAGTCTGAGGAATCGGTTGTTTCATACCGGTGGGCTGTGGAGCATTGCAAATTTTGCACCAATTCTATGCCCCTGGCCCTGGGCCCAGCCTTAGTGTGCTAGCCACGTAGACCCAATTGCTATCTTTGCCCCTCTGCTTTGCCCAGTGTTAGTTGCACCCCAACCCTTACCTGCTATTGTGTCTGCTGAAGTCTTGGGGAGCACTGGACTGGATGCAGCTTCTGTCTCTGTTCTTTATCCTCTCATCCTGTCTCCACTGTTCACTCAGATATGCCACCTTTAGTTGTCTCAGTGCGATATATCTCAGACACCTCTGTGTGTTGAGCATGGAATCCTTTGTTGAATTATAAATGTTTGACTTGTTGTAACTTAAAAGGGAGAGACCTGAAGGTCCAGTCATACTGCCATGCAGCTGATGTCACTCCTGGATATAAGTATTCTGAAGACTAACATACAGCAAGCACTTAGTATGCATCAAACATTGGGGTTCTTCACAGATGGTCACTACTGACATTTTGGGTTAGGTAATTCTTGTGGGTGGCTGTTCTGTGCATTGTAGGATATTTAGCAACATTTTGGCCTCTACCCACTAGATGCCTGAAGTACCCCAATCCCCCAAGATTATGACAATCAAAAATGTCTTCAGACATTTTCAAATGTTCCCTGGGAGTGCAAATCCAGAGGGTCATTTAAATGATTTCCATAAATCATCTCCCAAACTCGTTAAACATCATTATTAATCTCATCATTTTATAGATGAAATATCAAGGCACAGAGAAGTTCAGGACCTTGCCCAAAGCCAATAACTGCTAAATGGTGGAACTGGGATTCAAGCCCAGTCTCCTCAGAGCCCAGGCCTTTTCTCACTAAGCTTACTTTATCTCTTTTCTTTGTGAAGAACCTTAGGTCCATTCTCATTCCACATCATTCCTGCCTTTAATTGTCTTCTTCCTTCCAATGCAGAGGTGTGGAGCTCAGCCCTAGGTCATCTAGTGATGGGGATTTCTGAGGAGGGATTCAGAGAGGCAAAGTGAGCAAAGCCGGTTTTTGATATCCTAATGTGTGGCCTGCTCTATTCTGACATTTTTTGGAGGGTTGAGCCTTAGTGGCCATCTCCCAGAAATAAGTCTCCAGGCCTCCAAAAATAGAATTTGAGAAAGGATTATCTTCCTGAACAGAAAGAGATGGAATGAAGTCACCTTTCTTAGAGCCCAGCCTGGGCTGCCGATGCCCCATAGTGAACATGACCTCTCCACTCCCTGGCCTGGAGTTCCACGCATTTTCTTTACATTCACAAACATTGCTGGCACCTGTAGTGTGTACCAAGCTCGATGCTCTGCTACAAAAACTTGATGGGAGCCAAAGCACAAATTCTGTCATCAAGAATTGTGTATTATATTAATTATATGCAAATATGTGTGTATATATTAATTATACTATTCTAAGCAAATTACTAATATCAATAGATTTAATCCCCACATGATATACCTGGAATTGTGATTACACCCATTTTGTAGATGAGAAATGATGGCCAGTGACAACATTGAAGTGCTGAGAAATGAGGGAAGTATAGGACCTAGAGGAACTGGGATGAGACCTTGGAGAGCAGAAATGATGGCAGAAGACACAGTTCTGGGGCAAGAGGAGTGTTGCAGTCAGAGGGGATAACGTGGGGAAAGCAGAGTCTAAGGCAGAGAGGACATGCAAATTAGAAGTACTCACCTTAGAGGAGGGAGGCAGAGAGGCGAGGTGAGCAAAGGAGGTCTTTGATTTCCTAATGTGCCTGTTTGCAACAATGGAGCTTTGTTCACAGACAGTAGAGAGTGAAAAGTTTTCGGCAAATCTGCCTAACAAGGACAGATTTCCATTTAGAGTTGCACATAGAATGGACTACTGCACATAGAATGGATTGTAAAGGGTAGGGAGGCCAGTGAAGGGAGTCCTGTACAGAAGCTGGCCTCTTATGGAACTGTTTTTACAATGTGGAGCAAATTCACTCAATGATGGAAGATACAGCATTCCTGTTGGAAAGAACCATACCACTTCGAACTTTCACTGTGGTGCCCCACAATGTTCTCAAGGACCTTCTGCAGATGGATCCTCATTGTCTCTGCCTCTGTGTCCCTACCTCCACAGGCCTGAGAGAGATGGAGCAGCCACCAGTGTGGACATAGCCTGCAACTACCGTCCTGACCCTGCAGGCCCTGGGCTGGACAGAAAGCAGCTGTACAGGGAGCTGAGCCAGCTGACCCAAGATGTCACCAAGTTGGGTCCCTACACCCTGGACCAGGACAGTCTCTATGTCAATGGTGAGCAGTGACCACCTTTCCCTGTGTATTGCTGAGCCCTCATGCTCCCTGGCATTCCTCTTATTCCTTCCCTACATCCAGCATCTTCTCTCTCTCTCTCTGCAGGTTATACACACCAGACATCAGAAACCACAACCCATGGTGAGTACTGATGAGTAGCCTTTAGAAGCCCCCTCTATCCTACCAGGAAAGAAAGTGACAGACCCTTGCCCACATCTCCAGCTCTCAGGGAGGGAAAGGGTCAGGGACACAGGCTAGGGAGTCATTGCAATACCACACAGCTGTGAATCATTTTTTAAAAATATATTTTATTGATTTTCCACAGAGAGTAAAGAAGAGGGATAGAGAGCTAGAAACATCGATGAGAGAGAAACATCAACCAGCTGCCTCCTGCACACCCCCTGCCAGGGATGTGCCCGCAACCAATGTATTTACATGCCCTTGACCGGAATCAAACCTTGACCTGAATCTTCAGTCCACAGACCGACACTCTATCCACTATGCCAAACTGGTTTCGACACTGTGAATCATTTTTGTTTTGTTAGCTGAACACAGAGAAATAGCCATTAAATGTTGGTGGGTGGATGGATGGAAGAAAATAAGTTAGCAACTGATTTGAGATAAATAATAATTTTAGGTGTAAATCGTCTCCTTCAAAGCTGGATAAGCTTCCAAATTGTTCCCTTCCTCACCTGCTGCATGTGATGGTCTAACCTCAACACTGGTGATTCTAGAATTAGGCCACAAGGACCATCAGCCCTCACAGTGTCTCCAGTGAGATGGCCAGTGGTCTCAGGATCATGGCCTCAGGCCCTGCCCCCTACATTCATCCCAGGCCAGACTCAGTGTGGGCTCTTCTCTCCCTCCCCTGTTGCAGCCACAGGACCACCCCTGGTGCCTTTTACCCTCAACTTCACCATCACTAACCTGCAGTACATAGATGACACTTGGCCTCCAGGCTCCTTGAAATTCAACACCACCGAGAAGTTCCTGCAGCGCCTGGTGAGAGACCTGCCCATGGTGCTAAATGTGCCTACCTATCTTCTGCAAAGTACACTGATGCCAGCTCCACCCACTGCACCCTCTCCTGCTCATTGAAGCCATCTATCTAAACTCCCTCCTGCCCACTGGTGACAACCCCTCCCATTCCTGCCCTGTTCATCAGTGCTAGCCCTGCCCATGTCTCTCTTACCCAACCTTAGATGACCATCTTGCCCCTGCCTCTCCATCCATCTGTTTTTTTTTTCCCCTTGTCCTCACCCACAGCTCAAGGCCTTGTTCAAGAATACTAGTGTTGGCACCCTCTACTCAGGCTGCAGACTGACCCGCCTCAGGTGAGACCTTGTATAGCCAGTCAGAGCAGCCTCAGGTGCTTCTAGATCTGAGGAGTTAGTTTTGCTTCTTCCTGCCTTCCTGGTCTAAGTTCTGAAAGTGGAATTCAGGAGGTGTTTGCTCCAGGACCAGTGCTTCTTCTGATTGAACCTCCTCCTACCAACTGTCTCAGATTCTGCAAAATCATCAGTAGGCTTGGATCCCTACTCCGGTCATCTTTCTGAATTTCCTCTTTCCTCCCTTTGACCAGAGAGGGCATTTCATTTAGGTTTTCAGTTCTGTTTCCAGCATTTTTCTCAAGAAAAAGTGTCTCCCACTTGCTTTAATCCCAAATTCAATCTTTATTCATGTCTCTTGGATGAGCTTTCCTGTCCCCAGGCCTTAAGGATACAGATTTCTGCATTTTAATTTAATCATAATTTTCTCAGTCACTGACAGTTTCTGCCTTGCAATTTAATAATTTTCCCACTCACTGACTGCTCACAGTGTGAGGATGGCCAGAGTCACTGAGCTCAGAGAATCTAAGTTTGACTTCTCACCTCTCTACCGCCTCCTCATTTCCTATGGCTCATTCCTGTCCTGCCCCAGAACTGCTAAGACCCTCTCCCTAGGAATTCACTTCATTTTTATCACCCCTGACATTCACCCTTGCCAGGCCCAAGAAGGAAGGGACAGCCACTGGAGTGGACATTGTCTGCACACATCGCCCTGACCCTGTAGTCCCTGGGCTGGACAGGGAGCGGCTGTACTGGGAGCTGAGCCTGCTGACTGGTGGTTTTACCCAGTTGGGCCCCTACACCCTAGACCAGGACAGTTTCTACATCAACGGTGAGGAGGGCCATCTTTTTAGCATCATAGCTTGTTTTAAATCCTCCATCTCCATTGCCCTTTTCCCTAATCCTTCCCCTTCTCACTCTGTTTCTCCACATTTGCAGGTTACACCTTCCGAACCCAGACCACCACCCCTAGAAGTAAGTATTCTGAGGTTCAGAAGTCTCTACAGCCCCGTAATTCTCAGACCTTAGTAACGAAAGAGGCCAGGAGTCCACTACCTCCATGCCCCACCCCCACCTCACCTCCTGCCTGGGGAAAATGGGGACCAGTACCCATAGAGTCCAGAAGTGGCCACCTTCTCCCTGGAATCTCCAGAATGATTCCCAGTTGAGTACTGGGGATGCTTTCTCCCAGTTTCTGTGATGCAGGTGTTTACATCAATGCTGAGGGGCTGTGTTGGGGCTGGGTCTCCTTCCCAACGAGGAGGCTCTATGGCCACAAGCTTCCAAGTTCAGACTCTCATTGGGGCCTCACATTTCAGAGATATTTGAGCAGGGCTTTGCCTCTCTGGGGTGGGAAGGGTGAATTTTGTGTCTTTCAGGTGAGCACTTTGTCTTCCTTTTAATATATCCAAGCTGTGAGTCTAGCTGCCATCTCTTCAATGGACAATTTAACTTTTTATTTTTATTTTTTATTGATTTCAGAAAGGAATGGGGAGGGAAAGAGACATAGAAACATCCATGAGAGAGAGAATCATTGATTGGCTGCCTCCGACATGCCACACACTGGGGATTGAGCATGCAACCCGGGCATGTGCTTAACCAGGAATCTAACCGTGACCTCCTGGTTCATAGGTTGACACTCAACCACTGAGCCACGCTAGTCAGGCCAATTTGCTTTCCCATGGAAGATGTCTTCCTTCCCTCTTCCTCACTATCTCTCCCTCTCTTTACAGGTCACACCCATTTGTCATCAGCCACCACCCCCAATAGTGAGTATTTCAGATTTCTGTGTACCTGTGACCACTGCCCTGTCCCTAAAAATAAACTGAGGAGGGCCATCTTTTAGCATCACAGCTTGTTTTAAATCCTCCATTGCCCAGCCAACTCTTTCCTCCTGTTAATGCCCCTGCCCATTAAGATGGGAAGGTGTCCAGAGGTAATGCATAGGAATGTGGTTAAACCTGGAGTGTAAGGAGTCACCTCCCTCCCTACTCGCCAACAATCAACCCCAGGATAAATGGTGCATAGAGAGAGGTGCACATTTTATATAAATAACCCACCACTAATGCTACCATTCCCTTAAGATTACAGTACACTTTAGATTTTATTCCTGGTTGTTTTCCTCAGTTCCTGTGACATCCATACCCTTCATTTCTTTGGCTTCCTCCCCCTCCAGCAGGCCCACAGGTAGACACCAAAACCTCTCTGCAAAATCACTCATACTAGATCACTGCTCTCATTGCTCACTCATCCTCTAGCAATACTAGATCACTTTTTTTTTTCACTTATTCATTTGCATGGATTGCATGGACCGCCTAGCTATCAGGATCCAGCTGCTCAGAATCCAGATTCTGAGTCCAGCCCACATCACACAGCTGCTGCTGACCCTTGGTCCACCCACCTCCTAGACATCATCCAGCCCCTTGGTCTCTGACCCTAAAGTCATCATCTTTTCCCAAACTTACTCTTTCTCATTATCATCAAGGCAGGCGCCAAACTTGACTCACCCTGTTGCTCACCTCCCACCTCCATCCATCACCAGTTCATCTCCTCTCCTTACGGAATAGCTCATGATTCCTTCTTTTCTCTGCATCTGCATCACTCGGCCTTTATGCATGCCACCTGCATTTTTTGCTAGGGCAGATGCAGATGCCTCCACTCTAGCCTACTATAGTCCACACAGCACCTGCAGCCTCCCTCCTGATGTTCACATAATTCCTGTCTGTCAGAGTCTTTGGATGACCACTGCTCTACGAATCACACCCAAACCCCTGAGCTGCATAGACACTGGTTTCCCTTCTTGGGCTCAGAGGCTCCCTCCAATTTCATGTCTAGACTCCCCCAAGGCCACAGTGAAAGGACTTCAAGTTCCTTAAGTACAACAGCTTTGCCCTCCTGTCGGGCCTTGTTCCTTCTGCCTGAGCACTTTTTCCACTTGCTCAGCCCCTGTCACCTAACTCTCACTTGAGCTTTTGGTGAGACCAAAAATGATGTTTTCTCTGGGAAGCTTTCCCCAGTCTTTGATGGAGTGTCTGTCTTTGAATGATACATCTTCTGGCTTCCCTGCATCATAATGCTCTGATCCCTCTCCTGGTCATAACATTAGGAGACTATGCCCTATTCTTCTTTGATCCACAGAGTCCAGCACAGAGCCTCTCACACAGTAGAGCTCAATAGATGCTCAATGAATAAATGAGTGGAGGTTCCCGATGTCTTAGCAATTGCATAACATTCTCTCTTTCAGCTCCTGCAGCCTGTGGCTGTACTTAGTCCACTGCTGGTGCCCCCTGGTTAGAGTCCCAGGCACCCTCGGTGTTTACTGTCATCCCAGCTGAACATATTTCTCTTCCTCCTCCACAGTGGCCACTGCCCCCACCCTGGTGTTCTTCACCCTGAACTTCACCATCACCAACCTGCATTACACAGAGGACATGGGGCACCCAGCTTCCTTGAAGTTCAATTCCACTGAGAGGATCCTACAGCACCAGGTAAAGGCTCTTCAATGACCAGCGTCAACCCCACCTCATGACTGCCCACAATCCTCTCAGCCCTTCTGCTCACTACCTTTTTTCCCTTTCCAGTTGCGGCTCTTGCTTGGTAAGACCAGTGCTGGCCCCCTCTTCTCAGACTGCAGACTGGCCTCTCTCAGGTGAGACCACCTCCCACCCCCCCAGATAGAGTGACTTATCAGGCCAGGTGGACCCTCATACACCAGCTAACAGGGCTCAATTCTTGGACATGTCCCTGGCACTGCTGGCCTTTAGCACCCTCCATGATACCTCCATGCTTCTTCATGCCCAAAGGTAGTGAGAATGCTCAAGGCTTAGAAATGAAGCACCATGTTTATAGTTCATGTAATTTAGAGAACATTTTGTTTTCATTGAAGGTTTTTCTATTAGAGAACTACTGTATCCTGTCTGCACATTCTAATTAAAATGTTTTCTGTGCCTAATTGTGAGAGGTTGGCTCAGATGAGAGACATTTAAGAGAGGCCCAACAAGGCTTCAGAGCTACCCCTTCAGCATTTCCTCAGCCTATTCCCTTTCACTTTCCACACCCAAAAGGACCTCCTTCCATATCCCACATCCCCATGTCCTTCCTTCTCCAGGGCTGAGAAACATGGAGCAGCCACTGGTGTGGACATTGTCTGCACCCACCACTCTGACCATGTGGGTCCCAGGCTGGATAGAGAGCAGCTGTACTGGGAGCTGAGCCATGAGACCCATGGTGTCACCCAGCTGGGTTCCTTCACCCTGGACAGGAACAGCCTTCTCGTCAATGGTGAGGAGTTAGCTACAACCATAATCTCTTTTCCAGTTGGGGTTTGTGTTGCCTTCATTTCTAAAGCAATAAATCATCCATCCTTTTTTCCTTTTGGTCCAGGTTCAGTCTTCCTTGTGATGAAATAATCACTGGGTCTAGCCACCTTCAATCTCATTGCCTGGTTGCCTCCTCCTTGAATATTTCTCCACTGACTTTTACCTCTACTTTCATCACACACAAAACTGTCTTTCCCTTAATTTCTGTGTTCATCCCAAAACTCACTCAGTTCCTCTCACCTTCTCTTTGCAGGTTACACCTTGCAAGTCACAACCATGACTCCCACCAGTGAGTATTCCTGGCCCCTATTTTCTGGGTTTCATTCCCACTGCAGTTGTTGAAAGCGTTTGTTCTCCTGCACCTTCTGTCCTTGGTGAGAGAAACACCTGGAAGGGCCCCTAACACATTCCTTCTTTTTCTCCCACGGTTCTGGTAGAGAATTCCAGCCCAGGGTGATAAAATCTTAGAGACTCACATGGTTTCCCATATCTGACCCTCACATGGTTTTCATTTTAATTTTTCTAAAACCCAACCCTGGGTTCTCTTTTCTTATCATTTCATTCATGTCTCTATTGTTATTAGTTTCTCAACATCAGTGTTATACCCATTGTTTTATTGACTTCTGGTGATTTCAACTCACTACCTTCCAGGCACCATCTAAGTTTCATACTGTATTAGTCAGTTCTGGCTGTCATAACAAAATATTGGGTGGCTCAAGAAACAAAAGTTATTTTCTCACACTCCTGGAGGTTGGAAGTCCAAGATCAAATTGCAGGCAGGGGTGATTTCCTCTGAGGCCTTTCTCCTTGCCTTACAGGTGGCTTCCTTCTTGCTGCCTTTTCACATGGTTGTTCCTCTGCACACACATTCCTAGTCTCTGTGTGTTCTAATCCCCTCTCTTTATAAGATTGGATAAGCCTCCTTCCACCAATGGCTTCATTTTAACTTAATTACATCTTTAATAGACCCTATTCCAAATACAGTCACCTACCGAGGCAGTGATTAGTAGGGTTACAATTTGTGAATTTTGGGAGAGGACACAATTTATCCCAAAACATATATACTCTGTCCTTTAATTCTCACTACAACCATATACCTTAGCTCCATTTTACAGATGACAAAGCTCAGGCTAAAAGAGGCTGCCAGCTCACACAGCAAATAATAGAATCCAGAGTCCCTGTAGTTCCAAAACTTATGCTCTAACTTTCCATTATGGGTTAATTTATTTCAAAAGGCTTATTTTTGGTGCACACCTACTGTGTTTTAGTTTATGGGCCAAACTCCCTTTGCATCTGAAGCACTGCAATGAAAACATTGTAGGTGTTCAATAATCAATCACCTTTGCATTAGGGTGTATTTTCTCAAACTGTCCTTGGGTCCAACTACCCTTTTGACTTTTTCCAAACCATGACAGGCTTCTGGGCTCCTGAGGTCCAATAACAACCATATTTTCCTAAATTATATTATGAAAAGTAAGTTAAAGTCAGCTTCATTGACTGTGTTTTGTTTATCACTATACAGTCCTGGGAATAGTTTCTGGAGCATTGTAGGAACAAATCAATGCACATGGAGGCAACACAAAATTGATGGATGGAAAGAAGGAATAGGTGATGAATGGAAGAAGGGAAGGAGAGAAAATGGAAGAGCAGATGGAAGGGAGAAAAGATGAATAGAAGAGAAAAGAGTAAGGAGGGAGGAGAGATGTATAAAACAGATAGAAGTAAAGAGGGATGGGAGGAATTAAAGAGGGATGGAAGAAAGGGGGATAAGAGTATGGACAGAAGGATGCATAAAAGGAGGTGTAAACGGGAATAAGTAAGGAAGAGAAGCACTGAGGTAGGAAAGAATGATGGTTGGAAGGATGGATGGATGGAAGAATGGATGGGTGGGTAGATAGATGGTAGAAGAAAAAAGGAATGGAAGAAGGAAGAAGAAAAGATGAATGGATGAAAGTGAAGATGGAAGAAGGAAGGAAGAAAGCAAAGATCCATAGATGGATGGAATGGAAGACAGACAGAAAGGTAGAAAGAAGCTTAAAGGGAGTGACTACAGAGTAGAGAGAAGGAGGAAGAAGGGGAGGTAAGCATGTTCCTCCTTCCTCCTGAGTTTTGTCCTTAAATAAACACTGTGCTCCTGTATCACTTACCTATTCTAGAGTCAAGCCATGGGACCACTAGTCTTACTTGTATCCCATGTTCATTAATTCTACTTCTATTAGGGTCTATACAGATCATCCCAACTATTTAACATTATAGTAGCTACATGTTGTCCTCTGAGCCATGGGTGGTCACAAGCAAGGTCTGGGGTTTGAACCAGATTTTTCCTCCCTTCAGTCATGTGACCTTGGGCAGATGACCACTTATGTGCTTTGGTTTCCTTCTTTATTTAACGTGAATAATCCTAGAACCGTATTATATTTATCCATGTAAAAAGCTTTGACATAGTAAGGAGGTGCTTGCTTATTAATTTTATGTAATGAATCCTCATATAGTATTTACTCTGTGCCCAGCACTGTGCTTAAGCATGTTACAAAAACTAACTTGTTTAAACCTTATACTTTGAAATAGGAGCCTTTATTATCTCTTCTTACAGATGAGTAAATTGAGGTGCAGAGCCCTGGCTGGTTTGGCTCAGTGGATAGAGTGTCGACCTACAGACTGAAGGGTCCTGAATTTGATTACAGTCAAACTCCTTTCCTCTTTTAAATAAAAATATTTATTTTAAAAAATTGAGGTGTGGAGAGGTTGGTTATAGCTGCTAAGATTTTTAAACTTTTTAATTAAATGCATAGAAGGTTGACATACCTGGTTGTATTGGCAGGACAGATGAAAAATAGATGATAGATAGATAGATAGATAGATAGATAGATAGATAGATAGATAATAGGTAGATAGATAACAGAAAGATCAATGATAAATAGATGAGAGATTAGATCTATCTTCTGCACTTACAAGCAGGTATGTCAATCTTCTGTGTAGTAGTTTAAGGAGCCAACAATTCTCATAGATATAAAAATAGACTTAGATATATATCTATCTATCTAAAAGGAAGAGAGCGAGTGACTGAGGCACAGAGAGACAAAGATAGAGATGGGAAGCAGAAAGAATATGGATAAAAATACCAGGGGTCATCAGTTCCCCATCAGCATGGCAAGTTGGAGACTTTTCTCCTGGGAAAGTACAAAGCCACATTGTCTTCTCAGAGCCCTCCACTCCTGCATCTGGATAGAAATTGCCCATCTTGATGCCCCCAGATCATTAAGCCTGCTCTATTCGCTGTTGGAGTTGACTCCATTAACAAGTGACCCTCAGGCTAATCAGAAGGACATGGGTCCCATGAATCCCCAATCTTAGGTAGACATTGGGCCCCCCAAACTTCCTGCAAGCCTTGGCTCTCCACCCATCATAGCTGCAGAGATCAGTGAGGAGTCTTTCACACTGAACTTCACCATCAACAACCTGCGCTACTCAGCAGACATGAGCCATCGGGGCTCCCTCAAGTTCAACATCACAGACACCCTCATGCAGCATCTGGTGAGAGACTTGTTTACCCCTCCCACCTCCATGACCCATCACAGGGATTGTTGCCCACCTTTAACCAATACTGGCTCTCTCCTTCCTCTCCAGCTCAGCCTGTTGTTCAGGAGGAGCAGCCTTGGTCTCCAATATGCAGGTTGCAAGGTCATCTCGCTAAGGTGAGAACACCCCCCTCCATAGCCCACCACCAAAGGAAATGGGTTTCTGTGGAGCTGCCCCTGGTTGTGGCAGACTATTCTGGCGGGGCAGGGTCTTTTCTGCATCCATTTAAAAAGTATTATATTATTAATTTTTTATATTGTGACAAAATACATATAGACACAAAATTATCCATTTAAACCATTTTAAGTGTACAGTTCAGTGGCATAAATTACATGCACAATGGTGTGCACCCATCATCACTACCTAGTTTCAAAACTTTTCATCACCTCAAGCAGAAACTCTATACCCATTGGACAGTTAGTTATTCTTATGTCTCTGGATCAATTTTTTGTTCCGTTGGTGTTTATGAAGTACTTCTCAATTAATTAGTGTTTTAATTAAACTGACATGATGGTACAGCACCTCTGAGGCAAGTAGTAGGTATCACTGTGGCCCTTCCTCTTCCCTCATCTAGTGGAGAAATCAGACAGGAATGAGGAAAGTAAGTATTGAAGTAAAATGCTTTTAAATGCGATAAGGTGATGCAAAGCATAAATAAGTAGAGAGTATGGGAAAGGAGTTTTACCTCGGGGACAGGGTAGCCTCTCTGTGGAGGTGACTTCTGAGATGTGTCCCAGAAGGATTTGGCCATGAAAACTGTTCTAGGCATAGGGGACAGACTGTGCAAAGACCCTGTGGTAGACATGAACTTGGCAAATTCAGTGAAGAGCAAGGAGGCCAGTGTGGCTGGAGCAGAGAGAGAACAAGGTTAGAGAGAGTGAGGAGATGAAATTTGAGATATATCAGGGTCTAAACCGTGTCAGTGAGGAGTCTTTCACACTGAACTTCAGCCTTGAAGGAAGTTTAACTTTTGTAATTTTGGTAAAATACATAACAAACTTACCATCTGAACCATTTTAAAACATACAGTTTAGTAGTATGAAGTATATTTACATTGCTGTGAAACCAATCTCCAAAAATTAAATTGCAAAAATTAAATTCTGTATCCACAAAACAACAACTTCCCATTTCTCTCTACCCCAATCTTGGCACTCATCATTCTGTATTCTGTCTATATGAGTCTGACTACTCCAGATATGAATAGAATTATGCAGCCTTTGTCTTTTTGTGATGCTCATTCAATTACCATAGGTCTTTAAGGTTTATCCATGTTGTAGCATGGCAGAATTGTCTTCTTTTTTAAGGCTGAATAATACTCCACTGCATGTATAGATCACATTTGTTTATTAATGCATTTGGACTTCGGATTTTACATGGAACAGACAATGTGTTGGGTGCTGTCACATTCCCTGACCTAGTTGAGGTTAACAACTGAAGGGAATAGGGACAAATAATACATGCTCGCATAGTGGATGAGCAGGTTTGCAATCACAGAAGAGGTTCCTGACCTCCAGGGAACTTTGAAGAAGTGGAGGTGTCTGTTGACACCTGAAAGATGAACAGGAAATTGCCCAGGTAAAGAAAGGAAGAGGCTTCCAGACAGAAGTCACTGGAAGTGTGAAGATCCCAAGGTGAGAGAGTGTGGCCAGGTAGAGAAACTATAAACGGTTCAAGAAGGCTGAATCACAGGTGGAGAGATGCCAAGAGAACTGCATCCCCCAAAGGTCAACCTCTTCTTCCCCAGGTCTATGAAGAATGGCGCCAAGACAGGGGTGGACTTTCTCTGCATCTACCGTCAACCCCCCAACGGTCCAGGTTTGCCTGCCAAGCAGCTGTTTCATGAGCTGAGCTGGCAAACCCATGGCATCACTCGTCTGGGCCCCTACTCTCTGGATAAGGACAGCCTCTACCTCAATGGTTAGCAGTTCTCAGCCCATTCCACTGGAGCCACCCCCTAACTCCAGAGGATTCCCAGTTACCAGTTCTCTAGGGGGAAAGTTGAGAAAAACTCAGGTGTGATTCTCTACTCCACACTGATTCTTCTCCCTCACCCCATCAGGCTGATCCTTGATTAAACTTGTTTTACAGAAGAATAAACTGAGTCCTAGAAAGGTTAAATAATTTGCCCAAATGGGTGTAGCTTGAGAGTTGTGGACCCAAGTCATAATCAGCATCCAATGCCAGTCTTTCAAGGGGATATTTGGAGAAAGAAAATCGCACATCTATCTCCCCTCCCTGCTCTCTTCTCACCCTTGACTACGGATAGACTTCTATTCTGGGTGGGGCCCTATACCAGGAAGAAGGTAAGGCACTCTGAGCATCTAGGAGGTCCAGGGTTCCGACACACTGGCCATCAGCCTACAATCCAAGAAGTGACAACATTTAAGAGGGTGACATTCATCTGGGGTTCTGAGAGGCAGAGTTTGCCCATAGTAGGTTAATTGCAATAACTCAGCTTCCCTCCTCCATCTACAACCTGGAAATTGTACTTGGCAGCTAACTCTTATCACCATGGCCCCATCAGGTGGTCAGGGAGACATTCTGGTACTTTGTGACTCCCACTTTAGCAAGGAGGGAAATGGAGCTCAGAGGAAGGAGGGGGCCTGTACACATGTACAGTAGGTTTATGGCCAGTCTGCCCCTTGATGTTCTGAGTTCCATCTGTTGCCTTCACCTTGGCCATTGCAGGGCCCCCTTTAGGATTTGCCTCCCTTGGAAATGGCACAACCTACATGCTTCATTTTGTTCACTCAGTATTTATCAAGTATCTGCTGTAAGAGCCAGGCATCAGGGACAAAGACAGGCTACATATACAACCTGACATGTAACCTCCAATGGGACAGAAACTGTTTTGTTCAGTGTATGTTCCTTAAATGTAATGAAACTTGGCATATAGTAAGCCTGAATGACTATTCATCGGACGGAGGGATAGTTAGAGGGAGAGTGGAAGGGAAGATGGTGGAGTATATGGATAATGGGGGTGGGGGGGATGTATGAACATAAATGTGTGTCTTTTGTTGGGGGCATGGTGGATGGGGAAGAGAGGTTTTTAATGGAAAGATCAAGAAAGCCCTCATAGTGGATATGACATTTGGGTCTCATCTTAGAAGATGCCTCAATGCTCACCTGGTACACATAGGGAAAGGAATCCAGACAGGAGTCCCACATGACTCAAATGCATGGAATACCTGGGATTGTTCTGCCACTTATATATGACTTGTTCATTTCCAGGTTACAATGAATGTGGTCCAGACGAGCCTCCTACAAGTACGTATCTTTGCCTCTAGTGCCCATTTTAGACTCCTTAGTTCCTGAGCCAAACTTTTCTCCTCACTGACAAAGGGAGCTTGCCCTAAATTTAGTCCGGTCTTTTGAGTGGGGCCAACGTGTCAGTGGGAGGAAGAATGCTGAGTCCTTGGCCTGTTTTTGGACCTGCTTTCATGATATTGACTTTCTAATTTCTCCACATCCCTTTGGGTTAGAAAAGAAATTTTAACAAAGAATTCCCTACAGGAATGGGGTTGAGATCAGATAGTAATGTTTAGTTCATGCCTCCTGAAAACAAAAGCTCTTACAGGGACCCCATGAGGGGCCTCAGCATCAAACTGCAGACTCTAGGGGCTACTCGGTGGTTAAGCCCAATTTGCCCATGAACTCATCCATTGGTTCCTTTGTTTATCTTTTAACCCATCTATTCTTCCATTATTCTAGTTACCCCTTTTCTCAAATATCTTCTTTTCTCCCTCTTCCCAAAACCTCCCTCCCTGATCCATTCCTTCCTTTTTCCCTTCCTTCCTTCTTTTCTTCCATTCATCCATCCAGACAATCTTCTGCTTATTTACCTGTATGTATTCTTTCTGTCCTTCAATTCATCTCTCCAACTTTTCTTTGTGCTATTTTTCTCTCCCTTTTTTACCATCTCTTCCTTCTGACCATTCACCTGTTTGTTCTTTCTTACATCTGTCCTTCCATCCTATTTTCCTTCTATCTCTCCAACTTCTATTCCTTGTCTTTAGTCTTCCTGCTTTCTCTTTGACCCTTTTTGTTCATTCTTTCTCTGTCCATCCAGGTATCCTATTGTCTGTCCATTTTCTGCCCGTCTATCTACCTGTCTTCTTTGTTCAGTTTATCATTCACTTGCTCTCACTCTCTTGAATTCATTTATTTCACTTACAGGTTTACTCACCCTTAAACTCACACAATTACACCTTTTGTCACTCTCGTTTATGATACACCTGTGAGTGGTTTTCCTAGAACAACCTCTGCTGAAGTTCATGAGACCCTAATGGGACTTTCCCCCTTTTTTGGGGGGGGAGGGGGCAGGTATGTCCCTCACTGATGACTGCCTTTTTCATAGCTCCTGAACCACCTACCACGGTCCTGCCCACTTTGTCATCACCTGTGCAACCAGAAGCAACAACAGGTATTTGAGGGGCATTTTCCTTCCTAAGAGAAGTTCTCAAGCCCCTCAGACAATTGTCACACAGGAACTGGTGAGCTAGGCTGTGAAATTCTGGCTTTAGGGCAACCAGTTATACCAACAATTCAATGTAATGCCTACCCTCATGGAGCCTCCAGGCCTGTGAGATTAACAGACTATTATAACAAAATGTTGGATGTTTTGGGAAGAGCCATCTGGTATAATTTGAATGGGAATAGCTTTCTGGTGAAAGTTACCTACATGGAGCCTTTAAGAAGGAGTAGGTGCCGAAATCGGTTTGGCTCAGTGGCAGAGCGTCTGTCTGCGGACTGAAAGGTCCCGGGTTCGATTCCAGTCAAGGGCATGTACATTGGTTGCGGGCATATCCCTGGTGAGGGGTGTGCAGGAGGCGGCTGGTCCATGTTTCTCTCTCATCGACGTTTCTGGCTCTCTATCTCTCTCCCTTCCTCTCTATAAAAAATCAATAAAATATATATTTTTTTAAAATAAGAAGGAGTAGGAATGCTCTAGTCCAGTGGTCAGCAAACTCATTAGTCAACAGAGCCAAATATCAACAGTATCAACTATTGAAATTTCTTTTGAGAGCCAAATTTTTTAAACTTAAACTTCTTTTAACACCAAGACTCTTTCCTGAGCATTTGCCATAATGGCCACTTATGGCGACCACCTCTTTTTCAGTCTTCCCATTGACCTCACCATTTCTTCAAAATAGACTCGCCCAGGCTGTGGTATTTTGTGGACGAGCCACACTCAAGGGACCACATGTGGCTCTCAAGCCACAGTTTGCCAACCATGGCTCTAGTCAAATAGATCACGGACAAGGCAATCACCTGGTAGAGGGGTTTGATCAAAGGGTCAGTAGGCACTAACAGCATAGTGTAGTGAAATTGAGAGGGATTTCATTTGCCTGAAGTATAAAGCTTAATATGGAGTAGATGGATAAATGAAACTTAAATACTGGTAAGAACAAGATTAGGAAGGAACTTGAGTGTCAGGTCATTATAAGCTTGAACCTAATGCTGAAGGCCATAGGGTGTCGTGGATAACATAGAGCAGCGGTGACCATAGTGAAACTCTCATTTAAGTAAATTTCTACTACTATTCAGTGTGGAGAACAACTTTTAGACTGGGTGTCTACTAGTAGTGTGCCTGCTGGGGCACTTGTCCAGGTGAGAAAAGGTAAGAATTGGGCTAGGAAAAGATGGAGAGAGGTAATGTATGTGAGAATCATTCACACGTGGAGTTGGTAGTACTTGGAGGTGAGATGAGTAATACTCTTATTTCTGAGTGTTTATCATGGTTTTGACTTGACCACACCAGTGGGTGATGCTGCCACTGGAAAAGAAGACAACAGATTATCATGATTTATCATGATTACAGGATTTTGATGAGGACTCAGGCCAGCTCCCAGTGACTGCCATCTCACCCCTTCTCTTCTTACAGTTCTGTTGTACAACTTGGAGACCCTCTCACTCAACTTTACCATCTCCAACCTCCAGTATTCAGTAGACATGGGCAGTGGCTCAGCCATATTCAACTCTACTCAGAGTATCCTGCAGAACCTGGTGAGACCCTGGTCCCAGCAGCTCCTGGTCGGGTAAATCCCACCCAGTCCTCTTGCTCATATTCTTCCTCCTTCCTCTCCAGCTCAGATCCTTGTTTATGAAGAGCAGTCTGGGCCCCTACTACTCAGGTTGCAGACTGATCTCCCTCAGGTAAGACTCTTTCCTGAGCATTTGCCATAATGGCCACTTATGGCGACCACCCCTTTTTCAGTCTTCCCATTGACCTCACATTAGCTTCTCCATCTTTATGGCCCCCACACCCAGCAGTTTCAGGATCTCTCTCTTCTAGAGTTCTCACATGCCTCTCTCCCCAGGCCTGAGAAAGATGGGGCAGCCACCAGGGTGGATGTCATCTGCACGTATCACCCTGAGCCCTTGAACCCCGGGCTAGACAGAAATCGACTTTACTGGGAGCTGAGCCAGCTGACCCACAGTGTCACCCAGATGGGTCCCTATACCCTGGTCAGGGGCAGCCTCTTTGTCAATGGTAAGTCTTTATGCTGAACTTGGATTTACAGTGTTCATTACATGTCTTATTTTATTTCCTCTTTAAGAAATCAATCTAAGCTCAGGATGGGAGATACCCTCCACAAGCTCCATTGGGAGGGTATTTCCTATTATTTCTGGTAAAAACATGAAATTCTTTAACCAAATTAATATATTTTAATGCAAAATCAAAATTACAGACACATAGTATCTAAGCAAGGTTTCTCAAAGCCAGTTGTTCTCACCCAGGGGCAATTCTGCTCCCCCAGTAGACACTGGCAATGTCTGGAGACATTTTTAATTATCACAACTGGGGGAAGGTGCTACTGACATCTAGTGGACAGAGGCTGAGATGTTGCTAATAACCTTCAATATACAGGAGGACCCCACCACCAAGAATCATATACCCAAAATGGCAGTAGTTCTGAAGATGAGAGACCCTGCTGTACACCAATACTTACCAAACTTTACTGCAATTACTTGTTTTATTGTCTAACTCTACAAAATCAGGATTTGCCTATTGGGATGCTGGATCCTTAGTTCTTAATAAGTTGGCACATTGTGGTACTCAATGAATGAATGAACAAATAAAAGATGAGAAAATCAGCCCCTCATCTGTAGGTATCTGTTGCAGTTCCCATTCATTCATTCAACAAACACACATGTATGACAATTCTGTCCCAAAGCATGTGTTGGGTGGGTATGGAGATAAAAGACATAGCTCTTGTCCCTGGAAAACTCATAGTCAAGTGATTACTTAGGGACACAAAAATAGCATCAACATTATATAACTGGTTGCTATGGAATGAGAGATGGGAAGGGAATATTATGTGCCCAGACTCAGAAAATTTGACCTGTGTTAGATACCGGGGCATGACAGGAACAAGATAGATGGGTGGGTTCCTACTCTCCTAGAGATCCATACCTTTGGGTTTCTGAAGCATGCATAGGAGTTTTCCAAGAAGAGGGTGAAAAAGCATTCTACAAAGTGGTAACTGCATAAGCACAAACATTAAAACTCGGTTCTTGAGAATCCCTATAAAACTCTGAGTTTTCCCCTCTTTGCATGACTTTCCATTTGGGAACCCCTACATTTTCCAGGGCATGAACCTCTGTGCTGCCATACCTCCATGATAAAAGCTGAGCATCTTGCCTGGCCTGTGTAGTTTAGTGGTGAACCATCAATCTATGAACCAGGAGATCATTGTTGGGAGTCCCTGTCAGGGCACACTTTCCAGTTGCAGGCTTGATCCCCGGTAGGGGGCATGCAAGAGACAGCCAATCAATTATTCTTTCTCATCATTCATGTTTCTATCTCTCCCTCTTACTCTCTGAAATCAATAAAAATATATATATTAAAAATAGTAAAAAGAAAAATAAATGCTGAGCATCTTGACATTTCTTTTTTTTCATGGCCCTAGGCTATGCTCCACAGGATTTATCTATTCAGAGTGAGTACCAGCTAAATTTCCGCATCATCAACTGGAACCTCAGCAACTCAGACCCCGTGTCCTCTGAGTACACCTCCCTGCTGAGGGACATCCAGGACAAGGTGTAGTCTCTCTCACCCATCTTATATCTCCTTGCCCTGGGTACCCCTCTCATTCCTCTAACTTACATCTATTCACTGGTTATTTCAACACTGCATTTTACCCAAATTTTCTGAGTTCTCTCAGTTTCTGGAGGCAGAACCTTGTCTGCCTTCCCCATTCCCAGATGAGCAAAGTAAGGCTCAGAAATGGGAGTTCTGTGCCTAAAGTCACATAGTGAATTGGGGGCAGAGCAAGGATTTGAACTCAGTTCCCCCTTGCTCCAAGGTAGGGGTGTCGAACTCAATCAGAGAAGGGGCCAAAATCTAAAATCCAGCCTAAATCGCGGGCCAAATGGTTTACTGAACAGTCATAAACTGTCATAGTGATGGAAACGCAGCGGAGTGCAGTGATGACAGCGCGTTGCGGGACACATTGCAAGGGCTGGCGTGACGGATTTGGCCCGCGGGCCTTGTGTTTGACACATGTGCTCCAAGGCCTGTGTTCTTTCACTGCTTCCAGTGGCTGCCTCCAGCCCCTAGAGACTTCTCTTTCACCCACTTTTTCTCCTTTTCATTCTAGGTCACCAAACTCTACAGAGGCAGCCAGCTAGGAGATGCATTCTACTCCTGCCTGGTTACTGACTTGAAGTAAGTTGAGGAGATTGGAAGTATTGGCTGAGTTGCTGGTTTTTGCTTTGAGCTCCTGTGGCATATCTTATTCTGAAAGTCCTAACATTGTGCCCATTATCTCCACATCCCTGTCAGCTAATCCTACCATCTCCTTCTATACGTTTTCAGGGGTGGGAAAATGACTAACCTCATGGGGCCACCAACTGTCTGTACCTACCACCTTCTCCTCTTCTGGACACTTTCAACCAATATCAGCTCAATAATAAGATTTACCATGGCCAGCCTCTCTGCTGAGCACTTTCATGCTGATCATCTCACTTAATTTTCATCACAGCCCCATGAGGTGGATACAATGATTGTCCCCATTGTTCCAATGGAAAACTGAGGTTCAGCAAAGTAAACAACCCAAGAACTGTCGAAGTTGGGAATGCACTCAGTCTCTGAAGGATCGGGGGAGGAACTAGGAAATCTACACTGTAAAGGAGGATCATGAGGCTTATTGTTTTGAATATTGAAGTTGAATATTGAATGTTGAGTATTTCCTAACTTCAGTTTCTTTGTGGGGATACTTGCAATAATACCTTCCACTGCAGTGATGATGAGGGAATATGTAAGTCATTTCCTAGGAGTGCCTAGTAGATGTTCATTATTATTACTGTTATTGCTTTTATTCTCAACTCCTAAACACTTTACATAAAGTAGGAACTCAGGGGACACCGCTGGTGTTGGGTGCTGGCTGAGTCCCCGTGGTCTCTGATTCTAGGCTGGGCTCCGTGAGAGTCACTATCCAGGAACTGTTCTCCTCCAGTATAGACCCCAGAATGGTGAAACAAGTTTTTCTAGACAAGACCCTCAATGCTTCATCCTACTGGCTGGGTGCCACCTACCATCTGGCAGATATTCAAGTGACAGGTACAAGATGGGGGACTGGTTTCATGGCTTGTGGAGATGGGCTTTGAGGAAGGATGGGTCGGGTCATCTCAGTAGCAATGGAACAGATGTAGGCTCGGGAGGGAAAAGTGGTACTCTTTTGGAGGCCCATGTTGACGACCCATGTTCATGGCCATGGATCATCCAACTTGAGGCAGAAAGAGAATATGTAGCAATTACCCTCAAAGGAATGCTTATGTTTACACAAAATTTTCCATCCCCAAATGAGTTGCCTTTTTAAGCCCTCTATTTGTGAGTCATTCATTGTTCATTCATCCAACTATTATTTAATGCAAGTTAATAGGTACTGATGATACATTGTGAAAATTTCTATAAATGGATTTCAAGGAGGGACACACATTCCTGTCTTAGAATGTTTTCTAAGGAAATGATGAAGACACTAAGATATGATGGAGAACATGACTTAGCCTGTGGGGGACAGGAGATAAATAATTGTGATACATGTGTCTTTTATCTAGAAGATAGAAAGAGCATATTTGGGGAAGCTATAAGAGGTATGCTGTGGCTGGTACATGCACTTTGACATTGGAAAGGTGACAGTTCAGGCTAAAGAGGTGTTCAGGGACTTTCTTGGGTACTGGAATGGTTTGTGGAGGAACACAAAACACTTTAAGTTCTACTTTTGAAAGCTTGTTTTCTGTGTGCTTTGTGGAGAATGGATTGAGAGGGGGAAAGAGACTGAAAGCAGCAAAAAACATTAGGAACCTAGGCCAACAAAGGTATGTGACAGATGCCTGCTGGGTTGGCCAGCACTTACACTTGCCAACTATACCTCAGAGAGGTTTATTCTACTCTCCCAGACATCCTAGGGAACTCTCAGAATTCTTGATGGATAGGGGGTTACACAGGTAAATAAATGAATAGATTCAAGGTGGACAGGTGGATGCAGGGTCTCCTGGAGCCCATCTGAAAAAAAACAGTTCAGGTCACATTACCAGAACTAAGTAGACTGGTTTAAATGACCTCTTGTTAAGTCCTTTCCCAGGTATTAGAATTTTATACTCTCTTTTTATTCTAGAACTGGAGGCATCAGTTCATCTGTCAACAGATAAACCAACAAGCAGTCCCAGCCCTCAGCACTTCCATCTGAATTTCACTGTCACCAATCTACTCTATGTTCAGGACATAGGCCTGCCAGGCACCACCGCACACCAGCGGAACAAAAGAAGCATGGAGAATGCGGTGAGAATGCAGTTGGTTCCACTCTGTTTCCATGTGGAGACTGACTTATAGATCCATGTAGTCAAATGGTGACTTTCATAACAATTCATGAATACCAGTTCTTATTGCCATTCTGCAAATGAAGAAATAGGTACAAAAGGTTCACCAGCTGTCCCATGGTCATGTAGCTAAGTCCTTCCTGGAACAAAGCCTTTTTTGGACACACATACCTTCACTAGTCTTTGTTGAGCCAAGAAAAAAATAGATGGAGAAGTTTATTCAGTGGCTGAACATTCTCTGAGAAAGCCTGGGGTTCTGATGAAACTTTACTTTCTGTTTCAGCTCAACCAGCTCTTCCAAAACAGCAGCATCAGGAGTTATTTTTCTGGTTGCCAAGTTGTAGCATTCAGGTGAGTTCCAAATCAGGCCTAATGCCTCTGTTTATTTCTTAGACTTTTTCATATACAATAGCACATCATCTGCAAAACACAGTTCAGATCACATTTTTATGTCTTCTTTTCCTAGATGCCTTTCATTTCCTTTTCTTGCCTAATTGCTCTCGTTAGAACCTCTAGTACAGTTAATATAAGAGATGAGAGAAGACATGCTTGTTTTGTCCTTGGTCTTAGAGGAAATCATTCTGTCTTTTACCATTGACTATAGTATTAGCTGTAGATTTTTTGTGGGGATTTGTGGGTTTTTTTTTGTTTATTGGGGGGTTTTCTGGTTTTGTTTTTTTTGTTTTGTTTTTTTGTGTGTGTGGTGTTTTGTGTGTTGTTGTTGTTGTTGTTTTCAGGTTCTGTTTATCACATTGAGAAGGTTTCTTTTTAAAATCTCCAAGTTGTTGAGGGTTTCTTTTAAATCATAAAAGGCCTATTTTGTGAAATTCTTTTTTGTGTGTGTATTAAGATAATGAATATCTGTGCTTTATCCTATAACTGTGGTGTATTTCACCAGCCAGTTTTTAATATATTAAGATAACTTTTTTTCAGGAAGGGATTAGTGATTAAGATCTTTCAAGTCTTTCCTGGGCATGCACCCAGACCTGTACTCTTGAGGCCTTCTACATCCCCTCAAATTCACTGGAGACTTTCAAAGACCACTGGAGACAACTCATTCTTTCAATTTTTAACTTAAGTTTCTGGCTCGGCTCTTGGCTGCTTCAAATAATATTGCTCCCTCGTGCAGTTACAATGCAAAAACAGTTACCAATGATTGTTTTTAGGAAGTTCCCTGGGGATAGACCTTCCTTGCTGAGCAAGCTGAGTCAGAGAAAAACAAGCCCTGAAAATGGGGATATTTCAAGGGGATGCCACAAATGGAAACAAACTGGGATGCATCTTTTGGGGAGCTCCAAACCCATGATGGCTATGTGACTACTGTTTTTCACAGTTACATAGTTCTGAGACTGATGCTTTTCACAGTTCCTGAGGACATTGTAAGCACAGAATGGGAACATGCAGGTTATAATGCCAGAGTGCTTACTGTCATGATTCAGCCATTTCTTCTAACTAAACACACCTCAGATTGTTGCTGAAAGATGAAACAGAGAGGACCGGAGACCGTGGCCATGATAAGGACGGGAGTGTGGTGTTTGGCAATGGATGGGTTGGAGGTGTCCTAGACTATAGGGTTGACTTTATCTGGAGGTAATGGAGGAATGACCGAGGCCGAGTCTGAGTCAGCAGCAGAGGCAAGAAAGATAGAGACTGAGGATGTGTGGGCAGAGGGAGTCAGTGAGACGTGGCATGGAATTTAGATAGGATGTCTCTCACCAGTAAAGGGGTGGGGCATTGGGGAATAACTAAGAAACAGTGTGTGAACTGTATTATCTCAAAGGTACAGAGGAGGGGTTGAGTTACTGGAGGGGTAGTCTTTGTTTCCGAAACTCCCACAATAGTAGTGATGGATGGCATTAGGGGGCCCGAAAATTGGGGCAAGGTGGAGTATGTGGTCCCCGTATCAACAAGGAAAGAGACCGGCTTACCTGCTACATGAAGATTTACCCTGGGTTCCTGATGCGTGATCACCACCGGGGCCAGAGACACAGGGCCCCATCAGTCCTCTGTTGCCAGTCCCAGCAGATCTGTTGTGGATCCTGATGTGGGGGTTTTTATTAGAGAGGAAGATCCACCCCCCCCCCCTTCAGCGACTGGGGCAATCAACTCCCCAATGCCCCTCCAATTGGCAGTGTGGACATGGGCCAAGAGGGGGCCTCGGGTTTGGGCAATGTCTTGCCCAATATCTCTGCTATTTACATTTGAAGCAGGCTCCCAGTGGGCCTGATGTAGGCCTTCCTTTTAGCATGGAGCCTTGGGTGTGGAGCCCTTTAGGGCCTTTGCCAACATAAGATAATTTTCCTGGTCTCTTTTTTTAAGGTCCTCCTTTTCCTGTTCTCTATTATGGAAGACCTTAAAGGCCACGCAAAGAAGTTCTTTCTGGGGAGTCTCGGGGCCCCTCCTCAAGCCTCTTAGTTTTTTTTCTTATGTCTAGGGATGACTGGGAGTGTAGTAAGGCTGTACCCGCTGGGGAAGTAGGATCAATACAGGTATATTTTTCAAGCTCCTGTGAAAGGCGTTCAAGGAATTCTCCAGGGTTTTCCTGTGGACACTTGGTAATCTCCTTTATTTTATCATAATTTACCACCTTATTAGCCAGCCTGTGAAGAGCCTGGATAATATTGTCAAGCATATTATTCTGTGCCTCTCTATTCTGATGTCCAATTTGGTAGTTCCAGTCGGAATCTCTCCGGGGAACTGCAAGGGTGCCAATAGGATTGGAGTTGTTACGAGTGTGGGCCTCGTCTGCAATCTGCTGAGTTGTGTCCCAGACCCGGTCTTTGTCTGATGGAGTTAGGGAGGAAGTGAGAATGATAAAAATATCGTGCCAGGTAAGATCATAAGATTGAGTAATGTATTTGAATTCTTTGAGGTAGATATCAGGGTCAATTTAAGAAAGATGAGAAAGTGAGAAGGGAATGGCTACCCAAAGGATGCCCTCTGTCCCTACAACCTCCCGCAGGGGGAACTGGCCAGCTGCCTGGGAATACGGCTGCTGGTGGTCAAGGGAGTGGAGATTCAGGGGAGAGCCCACAGGCGCAGGGAAAGGAGGGAGAGGAGCAAGGGGAGGTGGAGGAGAGCATGCAAGTGCAGAGGAGAGTGGGAGATTAGAATTCTCAGGCAGTAGGTCTTGGGATGCAGTTTTCGCAGTAGGGTTGTAAGGAGGTGGCGGGAGTGAGACACATGGAGAGGAATGATCCACTGGTTCTAAAGAGTCAGAAGTCAGAGAAAGGGGTTTGAGAGGGCAGAGAGGACTTCCAGAGGAGGATCTGATGGGAGGAACGTGAGGAGTAAAGCGTGGGTAAGAGTGGGGGGTGGAGGGGAGAGGGGAAGCCTGTTCGTAGGAATCTCTGAGGCTTCCTTGTCCGGTGGCAAAAATTATCTAGATTTCAGAGGATATTGGAATGCCATTTTACAAGGCAGTTTGGCGGAGGATATTGGAATCAGAAGTGCCGTTTTAAATGAGCTTTTCTGGTTTGATGTAGCCAGATTGGAACCAAAAGTGCCATTTTTTTTCGGGGGGGTTTGGATTGAGAGGCTCCCAAGATCGGAGGGAAAGGGCCACTGAGAAGTTGGGGAGGGAATAAGAAGTGTCCTTTTCCCTTAACAAACCTGTAGAGAAAGAGATGAGAAAAGTTCCCAAGGTCATCATCACCCTGAAACCTTTCCCGTGGAGAACAGAGTTTTCCTGGCCAGGCGCCTGGGCTTTTGTAGAACGTAGAACATAGAACGTGAACATAGAGCGTAGAACGTAGAATGCGTAGCCGAGTAGATGAGAAAACTCTGAGGCCCTTCCAGGTCAAGGGAACCAGGATGGGGTGGGGGGAGGGGTCAGGAAGGTCCCTGAGGCCTACCGGTAAGAAAGCGATGAGATTCCGACATGTCCTGGTACTGCAGGGAGGTGTTCTGAACAGGCCAATCAACTCAGAACCAAGCCAACGAGCAGAGCCAGAGAAGGAGTTAGAAGCTCAGGGCTAGGCCTAAGGATTTTCCGGCTCACCCAAGTTCGGCAACATTAAAGGTCCTTGGTTTGATCCCGGATTTCGGCTCCAGTATGAAAGATGAAACAGAAAGGGCCAGAGACCAGGACCAGGACACAGGCTTTATTGAAGAGAAGAGTACCACTGCCGGCTGCTTTCCAGAGAAGAAAGAGAGAGGGGGCCGGGGTTCAGGCACCATTTAAGGGGAGGAAAGAGAGGGGACGGGGCTTAGGGCACTCAGCACACACTGATTGTAGTTTCATGTAAGGCATATGATTAGGGACCTAGGGACTTAGGAATTGGGGGCTTAGGGTATTTGGCAGGTGCTGGTTGGTGGTTCAGTGCTCAGGAATGTCAAGCTGCAGGTGGAGTTTATGTCATTCTCCGTCCATCAGTTGGAGGAAGAGAGGATCTATCAGTTGCAATCCTTTTGTTCATTTCTGTATTTTTGTAAAGTTTATGTCAACCATTTTTATTGTGTTCTCCTTATTTATATGGGTTTTCAGAAGTCCTTACTCCAGCATTTCACAGATGTTCTCCTTGTGGCTATTTGTTTTGAATTAATTATATTACATTACATGAGAAACTCACACACACCAGCCACATTTTAAGTGCTCAGCAACAACTTGTGGCTAATAATGATTATATTGGACAGTGTAGACACAAGGTTTACTTCATTGCAGAGAGTTCTATTGGCAAGAACTAGAACAGGAAAGCTAGGCTCAGGGTAGAAATTCAAATATCCCTGCATCCTTTGTGTGCTTCCAGGTCTGTCCCCCACAACAACCACACTAGGGTGGACTCCCTGTGCCACTTCTCACCATTGGCACAGAAAATGGACAGAGTTACCATCTATGAGGAATTCCTGCAGCTGACTCAGAATGGCACCCAGCTACAGGACTTTACCTTGGACAGAAACAGTGTGCTAGTGGATGGTAAGACTTCCAGGTCATTGGGGCAGGAGTGGGGATCTACGGTAAGTGCCACACCTGTGGACTTTCCTAGGAATCTGGAGGCCTGGGGATGAGTCAGCATTGAACTTTCTGAGGCTGATATGAGTTAACATAGTCCCTGGCTTTACCCACTATTGAAGGAGAGGAAAGGCTGCCCAGTGGAATATAGGAGGCCTTTGTCTTCACCTAGATAGCTCTGTGCCCTAAGGCTAGTCATTTTCCCACTCTGGACTTCAGAGTCCTTTGTCTACTGAAAGTCAGTTACCAAATGGTCAGTGAGGGCTGTCAGCAGCAAACTATGTATGAACCAGCCTTGATAAGTGTGATGGGATGGACCTGCTTTCTGACCCACAGGCTGTATAAAAAGAGGCAGTGGGCCTGACTTGGTTTGAAGGCTGTATGTAGTTTTCCTAGTACTGCTGTAGATCATTACCATCCAATAGAACTTTTGCAGAGATGGAAATTACTCTATCTCTGTTGCCCAGCATATCAATCACATAGAAGTTTTGAGTATAAGACATGGCTGAGACAGATTTTTATTGTACTGATTTTAATGTTATGAGGGACCAGATTTTTAAATTACATTTAATTAAAATTAATTTTAATTTAAGAAGCCCCTTGTGGCAGCTCTGAATTGGGCAGAACTTCTTAAAAAGTTGGATAGGAAGCCCTAGCTAGCGTTGCTCATTGGTTAATATCAGCCTGAGCTCAGAAGGGTTGCCGATTCAATTCCAATCAAGGGCATGTACCTGAGTTGGCAGGTCCTATCCCCAGCCTGGTTAGGGCACATGCAGGAGGCAACCATTGATGTCTCTCTATCTCCACCTCCCTCCCTTCCACCCTGCCTTTCACTCTCTTTAAAAAAAAAAAAAAAAAAAGTTTGCTAGGGAAAAGTGGGGGACCAGAAACCCTCCTACCCTGCCCAAAGGGTACAATGTGTTCCTACCCTCATGGAGTTTATATTGTAGTAGAAAATTACAAGAATAGGCAGTTGTCATTAGTAAATTATTTTATGTAAATCAACCCATACTTGAGAGTGGTAATCAGAGAAGGCTTCCTGTAGAAATTATATTATAGTTGAATCCTGGGAAATGAGTATAAAACAATGTGGTAAAGGAACGGAGGTAAATGAGAATCTAGGCTGACAAAAGAGATTATGAGTTGTAATTTACATAGAGAGATCTCGTGTGCTTTTAAACTTGGATGAACTATTCTCCCTTGAAAATCATTAAGATGGTCCAGCCCACTTTCAATATACTGTGCCCAAAAGTAGAAATTTGATTTAATACACTATTGTAGTGTGACATTGTAGGCCATTGCATCTCATTTTTTAGGGATGCAAACTGAAATTGAGTGAGATTAGTGACGTCTACTTTAATATTCAGTGAAAATATGGGATGAGGCAAGAGTGGCAACTGTTAATAATTTGTGCATTGGGTGAAATACTATTTTCATTGGATTGAACTATACATTGCTAAAACTAGATGAGGGATGTTTATGGTATTGTTCTATTTTTCCTTGTGTTTGAGGAGTTTTATTAAACAGAGTAAAACACACTTCTCCATTTTATTCACTTCCAGGGTACTCTTCAAACAGAACCGATGCCCTGACTGAGAATTTTGGTGAGCCTCCAGGCAGCCCCAGGGTTGGGGGGGAATGTCTTGATGCTGTGCCTCATCCCAGAGACACATGCACACAGGAGCTTGTATGATAACTACAGTTGGCCAACCCATGTCACCGACTATTGAGACGCAGTGGGAAGGAAGCAAGATCCCTGGGGAATGAGAGAAGGTGGCTCAGCCCAGCAATTGTCTCCCCAGGTTTCCCCTATTGGGCCATCCTTCTCTTCTCCTTGGTGGGACTTGTGGGAGCTACGATGTGCCTGCTCTGCTGTTTCCTGGTAAGCAAGGAGTGATGCTTTGTCTTCTTGCTATTGGGTTGTAAGAGTGTTTTATATACAGTCATGCATCGCATAGCGACATGTTGATCAAGGGTATGCCACATATGTGATGGTTATAATGGAGCTGAGAAATTCCTACCAGCTAGTGACAGCATAGCCTTAATAAGGTTCTGGCAAAGCACATTACTTTATGTTTGAGGCAAGCACACCTACTGCGTTTCCAGTTGCGTCGAAGTATAAGTTGTGTACAGGCCATAATACTTGATAATGATAATAAAGGATTATGTTACTGGTTAGGTATTTACTATGCCATACTTATTATTATTATTTTAGAGTGAACTTTTCTACTTATAAAAACGTTGGCTGTAAAACAGTATGGTGTGTTACACCAGCAGCAGTCTCATACATCTAATGTTTACTACATCTTGGGATTGCATTATTTTTGCTTGTGCTTGATTTAACTGTGTGTTGTTTTATAAAGTAAAATGCTATGCAGACAACCCCTAAGGGTACCTTTCTAGGTCATACCCTTGTTATGTGGTATATGACTATATTAGAAATACAAGTCTTCTGATAGGCACATGTTTTGCAAATATTTTTCCCAGTCTGTGTGTGGTTTGCCTATTTCTTTTCTTAACAACAGTAATTCTTAGAGAAATATATCTGAAAGTCTTGAGTCTATCATAGTAGTAAAGTGACCCCTACATGTGAGAATGGCTAAAATATTACTTAGACTGACTATAACAAGTGTTGGTGAATATGTGCAGCAGCTGGAATTCTCATGTCATGCTTATAAAAAGTAGCTTAGCAGTGTTGCTTCTGTAAGTTACATACACTTACACAGCCATTCCTCTCCTAACAATTTATCCCAGGAAAATAAAACATACAAAGAGATTTGTACACAGATGCCCATTAGAGATTTGTATGTACTATCCCCCAAATGGAAAACAATCAAGATGTCCAACAACAGATGAAGGATAAACAAACCATGACACATCCCACAATGTGATCTTCCTCAGCAAATAAAAAGGAAATAATTAATAATACCTGCAATGACATGTATAAATCTCAAATAGTTATGTTGAGTGAAAGAAGATAGGTAAAGAAGAGACTGTATGATCCCATTAGAAACAATCTTTATAAAATACTAGCTAATGTATAGGGACAGAAATCAGGTCACCAGCTGCCTTGGAATAAGAATGTGTCTACATGAGGAATTACAGAGGAGCCTGAGTACACTTTTGGGGTGATGGGTATTCCTTATCTTGATTATGGTGACAATTTAATAAACTATCATCAAAATTTCTCAAATCATTCACATGAAATGTATACAGTTTACTTTATATGAGTTACACATCAATTAAGCTATAGCGTGGGGAAAAGGAGGGAGAGAAGGATGAGGAAAATAAATGGTTACTAGAGGGAAAATGGTAGAACAAATGAGAGTGAAAACAGGGAGAGAAAAACAGAAAGAGATAAAAGGGTGAAAAGGAAAGGGGGAAAAAGACTGATGGAGAAAATTAAATTTAAAAAGGAGAGGAAGCCTGGCTGGTGTGGCTCAGTGGTTGAGCTTAGATCCATGAACATGAGGTCATGGTATATGCTCAGGGTGCTGAATCGGTCCCCAGTAAAGGGCGAGGCTGCCAATCCATGATTCTCTCTTATTGATGTTTCTATCACTTTATCTCTCTCCCTTCTTTTAGAAATCAATTTTTTAAAAATGTTTTAAAGCAGAGGGACACGTCTGCTCTATGTGACTTTGGCCAGCTTCTTCCCTAGTATTCTCTCATACTTGGACAGCCAGACAGTCCATGCTGAGTTCCTGTCCTCACCTTTACAGATCACCATGCGCCTGCTGAAGAAAGAGGGAGATTTTGAAATTCAGCAATGATGACTGGTACCTGCCACACCTAGACCTGAGGAAGCTGCAATGACTAGATCTGCCTGAGGCCCCTATTCCCATCCAAGGCCCAAAAGAGCTTGGCTGGACCAGAGATCAACCACACTGATCCGTCACATTCTCTGGGCCCTTCTTATTGTGGCCCCTGTCTGGTTCTCAGGAAACTAAGATAAAATTCTTCCCCTTCATTAAGTCCTGAAGGAAACAGCTAGTTTCTGCTTATCTTGTGATTTCATATCCTTTTATCCCTCGGGAACTCCAGAGTTGGCTAAACTGGAGCAGAAATTGCCGCCGTATAAAATTATACTCTTCAGCGCAAGGTTTCCCCTCTTAGGAAACTTTGCAGCACACTTCCCCTAACCTGAGTCAGCAACCACACTTACCTCTGAGCCTCCATTTTCCCACCCCCAAAGCCCAGGCATCTCAAGTGCCCTTTGCACTATTTCATTCCCTGAAGTTCAGACTCACCAGGACTTCCAGATCAACCTCTCTCTCCGGTCCCTTTCCTCATGGTTCTCCAAGATGGAAAGTAGACCAGGATGGAAGGAATGGCTTAGATATGACTACATTCAGCCCTGGGACCTGGAGCCTGAGATGACTAGAAATGTAGGAAGACTGAATCCAGAGTAACACTGAGACCTTAGAAATATAGTGTCTGCTTTGAAAGTACAGGTGAATAAAACTCAAGTGGAAAATATGAGAGGATGAGTCTTTTTTCATATTTCTCTGCACAGAATCCAACAAGACAGATATAGCAGGAGCTCCTCAAAAGAAGCTCAAAGTATCACTGGCATGGGGCTGCCTGTACTGTCCTGCCCTGATTTGTAAAAACAGATTGTGTGACCTCTGCACCTTTTGCAGATGACCGCAGCTGAAGATACCCAAGGGCTAAAAATTAAAGTCCAACTAATGCCAACCATTCAATTTTTTTGGTGTGAACTTTCTGTTCCCTCAGTCTTAAGCAGACATTCTCTGAGAATGTACTTCCTGGATACTATAATAATGATATAAGAACTACCATTATTGACATCTTCATATCTGCTAAGCAACATGATTGACAAGTGCAGAATGCATTGTCTCCATTATACAACCATCCTTGGGGCTTTATTCCCATGTTGTTCCCATAAAGTTATGGAGGCTAAAAAACATTAAGTAGGAAGGAAGGAAAAACAATTGCTAAGA